TTCTCCTTCCTGTAGTGCATCTCCGATTTCTCGTCTACGAAATGGTGTGCGAAGAACTGGTGGACGGTCGGCCATACCCGCCAGCGCAGGAATATGAGCAGGCCGCACGACGCCCACATACCGTCCACATGGAACGCGAGGCTCTCCCTGTCGGTGCTCGTCCCGAGCTGGTTGCATGACTTCTCAGGAGTCCCCCCATGCTCAGAGTGGGTGATCGAGGAGCTCTTGATCTCGTCGGACCATTCGCGGTCGACGACGACCTCGTCGACGCCGTCGTCCTCGACCTCGTGCTGTGCGTCCTGGCGCATCTGCGCATTGCTGGAGCTGTCCCCGCTGTCGTCGGGCTCGAGCGCAGAGGACGTCGAGGGCGCCGTGCCGGTCCCTATCCGGCGTTTGAACTGTGCCCAGTGCACCCGCAGCCCGCCGTTGACCCGGGCTGACTTTTTCTTGCCCCGTCGGCCTGAGGACACAGAGCCCTGGACGACCGGGGGCGGCAGGCTCAGGGTGGCGTGGAGCGTCGTCGAGCTCACGGGGGCGGTCACAGTGGTGTGCGGGTGCTTGTCCGCATTCTTGGCCGGGAGGGCGGCCATGGGGAGCTCGACGTCGAGGGCATCTGTGCTGCCGTTGGCGGTGATGAGCGAGGTGCGGGAGAGCAGAGGCATGAGGGCTGTCGCCGCGCGCGACGGTGAGAAAGATGTTTAACAGGATGAGGACCAATTCCTGGTGGAATTTGCATGACAGGCACCGTTTGACCGGCGTCTGTCCCCATCCCGCCCAGCCATCATTATTTTCCCCACTCTCCAAAGCCGAACCGGCCCAGTCCATGGCCCGGTGCTATGCCTGCATATGGATACTCCCGCACGGGAATTAATCACATATCTCAAATAACCCTTATCTAACCGCCGGCGATCTTGACATGTTCATGACGTCAACTCAACATGTATCGGCGTCCGGCCCAGGCCCGCCGGCCGATGTTGGCGACTGCACACACTTCAGGATCAACTTGTCGGTTAGGGTACGGTGAAATAGGCCGGGCTGATTAGCCTCGGTTAATTAACCCTTGCTAATTAGCCGTAGATTTCACAAGGCCCGAAAAACAAAGGTTAAATAGGGTTAAATAGGGTTAAGTGACCTCCGCTGATTTTGGACATGTTCCGGACGCAGTAGGAGTTCAGCCTTGCGGTTGTTATCCAGGAAGATCAGTAATCGTAGTTTCTGACCTCATCGACCTTAACGCGCCATTTCTGAAGGACCTTCTTGCTAACGAGCGTCCCGAAGTACTGCGTTGGGACTAGAGCATGTATTGAATTTGAAATCTGAAGGCCAGTGACGGACGGGACGAATAGTAGCAGCTGCGTGCTGTCTAGGTATTCGGTCGCTGGGCGACTTATGTTATATAAAGCTACTTTAGTGGCTAGAAGTACTCATTAGGCCATGTTCTATACCGGCTAATTAGCCGTAAATTACATAGGTTAATTTGACCCCTCACACAGGCCTAGGCTAATTAGCCAGTTAAGCAGGTCACCGTACCTATTTCACCGTACCCTATTGTCGGTCAGACTGGGGACTGTACGACCGTCGAGCCTGCGCATGAATGTTTGCGCCATCGTATACCTGCGTCATTGCACGACCATGGTGACTGCAGGGTGCTCGCACTTGCTGGTCCAGTGCACCTCAGCACCATTCCCTTCCGGAAGCCAAATTTCGCGGCATATCGGCAAGGGGCACAATCGTGGACAGCATCAGTCTTCACCGAGGCAAGGTCGCTGGTTATGCTATTACACAAGTATGCTGCAAACACCGTAACAGCATGGAATGTTGATCATCTCGGGGCGAAGAACCCTCACCCCTCAGAGTTCGTTGGCGACAGTGATCTTCGCCGAGATATCAATATTTGTCTGTTCATCGAAGTCTACCCCGTGATCCTCATTCGGTAGCCTATCTCTGATCGGCCGCCTCCTGCCGCAGGTTTCTGCCCCAAAGTTCACTTTGTGTGGGTGGATTATTGATAGTAATGTTGTAACCTAAATAAACAGTCAGTAGTTGGGTGTCAACATCGTAGACAGAGTCGGGCTTTGATCAAAGGTCTTATTGAGTACTGCTGGCTTAGTGATTGGGGCGCAGAATTAGTGGTGCTGTGCCCTATGCCGTCTATCTGTGACTTTCGCGGAGGTGTATCGTTATTAACTTCGCTGTGATTTAGGTATGATTTAATGGTTTACTGTGTCCTATTTCTCTGCTGCGTAAGAAGTAGGCCATGCACATAAGGCGCGACTCGGTTTCTGGGGACATGGTTGTGCCGAGGGAAGAACGACCGGCGTTCGACAGGGACTCGGAGGGGGCTGGGCCCTTGAGTGGGTGCAGTTGGCGCCAGCCGTTCATTTACCGTTCGTTACCTTCTATTTGGTACCCAATCCGAGCCCACATCTCCGTCTGGTACTCGTGTACTGGCCTGCGCGTGCAGTACCAACGCACTTTCGCTGCGAGTACTCAAATACAAATACAGAGAGACAGTTCGATCCGTCTAGAGTGCTAAAAATAACGACCTGGGTCTTGGGTCCTTACTGACGCTTGTGGAATATGCAGCAAAGTAAAATGGGATATAAGTATACGCAGTGCACAGTTTTTTTCCCTCCGAAGACGAGTGCTGCTAGGCCGAAGAGTCGGGGCTGCACACCGACTCCTCATTGATCGGGCCCGACGCTTCCCACGCCTCTCAGCGATCGACGATCTCGAGCGCCCATAATTCTAAGCGCCGAGGCACGGAAACCAAATGGACTGCCATTAATGGCAGTACTTACTTACTTACTTACTTACTTACTTACTTACTTACTTACTTACTTACTTACTTGCTTACACTCTCGCACAACACTCCCCTGGACTACTTGTCCATGTATGCGCTTACCGTGGTAGACCCCGCCTCCAAGTATCTCTCATTCTGAACGCAAACAAGATCTGTGAACCCGTTGCTTATACTGGAGCCGTCACATGCCGCATCGAACATTCCGATGCCTCGGAGGTTCGCTTCCACGGCTTTCCTGCTTTCCCTCACACTTGACTTGAACGTGGTCTCTACTTGTGATGCCTGCACAGCAGAACAGGATGGGCTCGCTGTCGACTGTGTTCCCCTTTCGGAAGCACGAACGCGCCCCGACGCAACAGGCCGCAGATCGTGCCAGATCCGACGCATTGACAATGTCCTCACAGCTGCCTCGCGCGCACCTCGCTAGCAGCCAAGGCCTCCAGGTAACTGAAGAGCGCACATCTGCGGTCGAAGGCGACAGCACCCCAGCCTACGCGCTCACCGACACACACGCACGCACGTACCGCCCCGAAGTTCTCAAGACGATCGACGGAGCCCTGGCCCTGCTGGATCCCCAGCTGCGCGAGCTGAGCTTGGACATATGGCGCCATCCGGAGCTCATGTGGGAGGAGGCGTACGTTACCGACGCGCATGGCCCGTCCTGCATGCCCGCACGCTGACGCTGACCCGCAGGCACGCACACGACGCGCTCACGTCCTTCATGTCTGCACGCGGCTTCGCCGTGACGCCGCACTACCTCGGGCTCCGCACCGCCTGGCGCGCCGAGTACGCGCACGTCTCGTCCTCGCGCTCCCCCTGGTCCTCGCGCCCGCGCGTCATCGGCGTCAACGCGGAGATGGACGCGCTCCCCGGCATCGGGCACGCGTGCGGGCACAACCTGATCGCGGTGGCGGGCGTCGGGGTCGCGCTCGCGCTCAAGGCCGCGCTGGAGACGCACGACGTATCCGGGAGGATCGTCCTGCTCGGGACGCCTGGTGAGTGTCTGTGCCTATCCCTGTCCTGCGGCGCGTTGTCTCACCGCATCGTGGATGCAGCCGAGGAGGGCGGAGGCGGGAAGATCGTGCTCTCGTCTCGTGGTGCGTACGACGAGATGGATGCTTGTTTAATGTACGCCCCTGTGCGCCGGGCACGAACGTGCCGTCATTGACGCTCCGCGCAGGTGCCATCCGTCGGGCGGCCCCCTGCGGCACGCGTCGCTCGGGCCCTCCCTTGCCATACGGACCATGGACATCGAGTTCAAAGGCCACGGGTCAGCCCCGCCAGCTTCTCGCGCGCCGCTTTGCATGCTCACACAACGCCACCATATAGCGCGCATGCGGCGGCTCATCCGTGGGAGGGGCGGAACGCGCTCGATGCGGCGTTTTTGGCGTACTCGAGCATCGCCGTGCTGCGCCAGCAGATCAGGCCGACGCACCGCATGCACGGGATCGTCACCGGGAAGGACTGGGCGCCGAACGGCGAGTGAGGGTTGGTGGCTGGCTGGCGCGGCGTGGGCGCTGACAGCGACTGTTGCACAGTGATCCCGGACAATGCGACGCTGAGATGGATCGTGCGCGCCCCGACGCGGGACGAGGTGGCGGTACTGAGCGGGCGCGTCAAGGCGTGCTTTGAGTGCGTGCGCACTTTCTGAGGTCCGCTGAACAGCGCGTTGAGAGACGCGTTTTCTCGATGTCAGGGCGGCCGCACAGGCGACTGCTTGCGAGGTCGTCATCACGGGCGGGATCACATGCTATGATCTCGTACAGAACAGAGTGCTCGGTGCGTGCGCGCGGCCACCCAGGACACCCCTCGACGAATGCTGATGCTGACAGGGATCGGTTCCGCACCCCATCAGGCGACGAGTTCAGCGAGGCCGTCGCGGAGTATGGGGTCGCGGCGGAATACGACGAGGGCATGTCCGCCTCGACCGACTTTGTACGCGTGCACGCTGTCCTGATCCTGATAAAGCGTCGCTGACTTTCGCCTTGCAGGGCAACGTGACATACCGTTCGTCCCGCTTTGTCTCTGCCTCGCGGTTCTGCGTTTGCTGACGTGCTTGCGCCGCCTTACAGAGCTTCCGTCTCTCCACCCCGTGTTCTCGATCCCCACGGAGCCCAACGGGCAGAACCACACGGCGGCGTTCACAGTGGCGGCGGCAACGCCAGAGGCACACGCGGCGGCTCTCGTGGTTATGAAGGGCCTTGCTATGGCAGGGTTCCGCGTGCTGGACGATGCGAAGTTCGCTGACCGGGTGCAGCGGGCTTGGCGGGAAGACATGGGAGCTAGGAAATAGCAGTGGCGTGTTGGGCTCGTCGGCTGAGGCTCGCAGGTTGTGCGGATGGAGGCGGACATTTTCCTTCCTGCTACTCTGGCTGAGTGAATGAATGCGATGCCGGTGCGATGGCGCGGCTGAGCGGTGTGCCATGCGGCTGTGGATGTACGCTACAGATGAACCTTCTCGACGACGGCAACGGACCCACAAAGGTCGATGTAGCCGCGGCCCAAGAGTTGAAACGTCGCACACGCGAATGCGAGGCCGCAGCGGAGGCAAATAATTTCTTGGACAGCCACCCTATTCAAGCCTGTGCCACCGCTCACCTGCATGTGCGGATCACCTGGTCCCGACTGGCTCCTATTGCGATCAAGCTCCTCTGTCAGCTGTCCTCTCAGGCCGAATGCGTCTCTCTACTGCTCGATTTCTCGCATTCGACGCCCGATGACGCGGAATGGGGCCTCGTCGGCGAGATGCTTCATGCACTGGCTACACGACTCATCGCCGGCAACAGATGCGCACTCCGATTGCGTATGTACCCCGCCGTCTTTGAGAAGCTGTCCCGGGTCGCCACCGAAGGGACTGGCTGGGACTTTAGTCTCACCCATGACGAGTGGGATTACGATCCACATCGCTCAGATTTCATGTCTGCGTAGCTCCGTGGTATATTCCGGATAGTGGCTAGTCCGCCGTTATGTGATCTCGCTGTAGGCTCTCACGATGTGGTTTAACTCGGCTGGGAGCCCAATACTAGTATGTGTCACCGTTTACAGGTTGCGAGATTGAGTGGCGGTTGATGATAATCAGTCCTATCATCAATGTAAGCGCAGTCGCCCGCAACTAAGGGTGTGCCGCTGATGATTTGCAGTGCACGCCGGTCTCACACCGGATAGCGCGACCAGTTCAGCCTCATGCTGCGTATCATTGCCACCTCGGGGCTGGTATATAACAGTGAGGATATGTGTTGGGTGTACTTTGAAATATCTCGAGCTTTCTCGTGTCCTGTCGAAAGCGTCCGAGCCGACCTGCATTTCCACCTACCATTATCAGTCTGATCATCGAACATTACGACAGCAATTTCGGTATAGTGGAAAAGAGAGATCGAGGATCTATCTCTGCGTTCGACGAGGTCTGTTGTCTATGCTTGAGATCGTAGTTTTCGTACTGAGAGTCTGATAGGATGTGTATGTCTCTATGGATATACCACCGGCCTATTGCGACGCCGCTGCCCTCAGTGATGGTCCAGTTCCTGTGCTTGCTCAGACGGCTACGCGCCCTTTCACCTCGGTGATCCCATTCCGAATATCCGGACCGCCTCAATCAGACTCGGCGCAGCGTGTAAACAATATTTCGCTCTTCTCCAAGCACGACCCTATCAAAGGTATTCCGTGTTGTCTGCGAAAGTGTACCCATCTATAACACATTCGCGTACTATGTAGGACGATCCACTGCTACCCACGGTACCTATGAGTACCGGTCTCTTCTCCGGTGAACACAACGTCCGTAAGATAGGGCGGGAAGCGGCACGCAATACAAGAACGCCAGGAACGAGCTTCAACGGGGGCTCTGATAACGTGTCGGCCTCTCCCAAGTCCATAAACCCCATCCCGGCGGCGCAATGAGCATTACGCAGTGTGCTACAGCTGTTCGACGTCTCGAGACGACAATTTTGACTTTTGATGTACAGCGCAATTTGTACATACCACAAGCTGCGTCTTGACGCGTAGATTCCGAAAATGCAGGTCGCGAGACGATACGGTAAGCGGTTGACGAGATATTTGGGTTCTCAGTTCGAGGTGCCCCGATGTGACGTGGCGCGAAATTCATGTGTATTTGGCCGACCGGACAGGTTGACTGTTAACAGCAATAGGTTGAGATTTTTTACCTCAAGTATTTCGCTCAGAGTCTGGACCAGGCCTGCCCCATCCGAGTTGCGCCAGTAATCGCCATCCGCTATCGCTGCGCCAAATGGCGCAACACTACCTGGCTGGAGTGGCGACGTCCCGTTTTGCGAATTTGAAGTGGGTTTCTTGACACGCGTAGGGCTGCGATGATCGATCAGGGGAATCCCTCGTGTGCCGACGCTGCCCGGTGAATGTAGGGGTACTCAATTCTTGTCGCTCGCTCGTATATTCGTGGGGCACCCACCTTTTTTGGCAAGTATCTTCAACCCCGACTGATTCCTCAGCCACCCGCGATCGACAGCGACACGGCGAGCTCCAATTGCAAGTCTCATGCTTGAGTCATGCAAATACTACTTGATACAGCCAATGGTGCGGCTTTGTACAAGACTCTAAGGTACCCACGGAATGATATAGACAATGGTGACTGCCTGCAATTGCAACATATGAGCTGATTGTAGTATGTTCTTGATGGTTGAAGATTTTTTTCTCTAGAATACATCTGTGTCGGATTCTTGACGTCCGCGGTCGCGATCCGTGTTCCCTACGTCAATCCGATACCGTAGCTCATTCTCTGTCTACTTCCACGTGATACCTACTCTACGTACTTATATCTCGCTCCCCCGCTCCCCGCTTCTCTCCCCAGCTCTTGTACCACTGCGCCTGAGGTGCCTCTCATACCAGTACTGGCTCAAAACCTCTGGCCCAATATAATACAAGCTCAACATTGTGGCATTAGATTGGCTGGGTCGCGTCGATCGCGGGTGGCTGAGGGATCAGTCGGGGTTGGAAATACCGACCATAAAAGGTGGGCACTCTGCGAATGAACGAGCGAGCGACAAGAATTGAGCACCCTGTTATTATAAGGTCTGCGGGTAGACAATGCAACGTGCACGACAAGGTCAGCATGTCACCCTGAGTGCAGCACCGAGACCGGTGTATAGAGACCTGCGTTGGTACATAACATGGCAGGCCATCCAATCACCCTGTCATCCACCCTCTCGTGAATTTGATGATCGTGGATGTGTGCAGCAATGACTAACGGTGGCCGAGGCCCGCTGCAGACACCGTGCTGATAACAAGGACACATGTTTGCCTGCTGCACCCGAGGGTGATCAGAGCGCTGCGACGCTGTTGGGGGTGTTTCCTATACAGGCAAGTCAGTTGTGATGCCGCTCTAGGAAGGGGCGTCCCGCTCCCACACATGACCTCGCGGGATCGAATGCTATACCCTATCCGCTCCCAGCGCCCTGACACTCGTGGTAGCCCTCTATCCGCTTTCGCCGGTGCTCGCCCCCTGAGCATCCATCGAGGCGGCTGTCACAGCGGTCGAGGCGATGACGAAGCTCCCGCCTGAGAAGTCAAGGTCGGACAACGGCAACTCTCTACTCGAGTTGCAAGTCGAGACGACCCTTGGGATGTCGGCAAACATCGACCATTCGTCGTGGATTGGTTATGCCTTCTATATAGAGCAAAACAGATGACACCGTACCCGCAATCCAAGGTCCGGCAACATCGCGTGCGCCGGCGCACGACTATAAGAAGCCTTGGTCTGTCCGGCATCCAGCATCATTCCTCTGCAGTACTCCGCTGCGTCTGCTTCACCTGCCATGCCTGTCTCACTCATCAAGGAGAGCGACGTCGACGTCCTCGTCATCGGCGCCGGCCCCGCGGGGCTCATGTGCGCAAACGCCCTCGCGAACGCGGGTGTGAACGTCCGCATCATCGATCAGCGGTACGCAGCCAGTTGCGCCCGGTCCACGCCTACTCTGACGCGGGGCCCGCTTCTCCTCCAGCCCGAGCAAGGTCGCCGCAGGACAGGCCGACGGCATCCAGCCGCGCACCATCGAGGTGTTCCAGGTAAAATCAGGCCGCATGCCTTGGGAAATTGGAAATCGGCCCCTGAATATGAATGTTTCTGTCAGAGCTACGGCCTTGCCGACAGGCTCATCCGCGAGGGCAACCAGATGCACATGGCGGTGAGCGTCCACCCGCGCCCGCGCATCTACATCTCGCTCACAGATCTCGATCACGGCAGGCGTTCTACAACCCCAGCGCCGAGGGCGGAATCGAGGTAAGATCGAGCATGTCATCGTATTTGACTGCCCCGCTGAATTGGCAAACGATGTTACAGCGGGGCGGGCGTGCTGCGGACGTCAACGCGCCGAGTGCCCGTTATCCCTTCGAGGTATTCCCGGGCCCTTGTGCGGCGCGGATCCGTACTCACCAGGCATTCGACAGATTACGCTGCACCAAGGCGCCATCGAGGCGATCTTCCTGGACTCCATGCGGTCCCTGGGCGTCACCGTGGACCGCCCCATTGTGCCGTCGTCCATCGAGCTGTCCGCAGACGAGGCGGAGCTCAAAGACCCAAATGCACATCCGGTGAAGGTTAGAGCGCGCGCGCTACGTTTATATTTCTCGAGGCACATGTAGCCTGATCTGTGTACTGCTTTGTTTTTACACAGGTGGTGCTGAAGCATCTTGATGCCCAGGATGGCAAGAACGACACTGAGGTCGTCCACGCCAAGTTTGTCGTCGGCGCAGATGGTAATAGTAATATGCATGATGCGCCGTCTATGCGCGCGCGGGACCTCACTCAACGATCTTGTTTCCTAGGCGCACATTCATGGGTACGCAAGTCGCTCGGCATCGCAATGGAAGGCGAGCAGACAGGTAAGCCCAGCCCGCATCGCCAAGCACCAAGCCTAGCGCACGCTCACGCTCACGCCTGCACTGCACAGACTACATCTGGGGCGTCGTGGACATGGTACCCGAGACGGACTTCCCGGACATCCGCAACCGCTGCGCGATCCACTCGACGAACGGCTCGTGCATGATCATCCCGCGCGAGGGCGACACGGTGCGGCTGTACATCCAGCTCACGGACGCGGACGCGGTCGACGCGCGGTCGGGGCGCGTCGACAAGAGCAAGATGGGCCCCGCGAAGCTCCTCGAGGTTGCGCGCAAGTCGTTCCACCCGTACACGATGGCGACGCCGCAGGAGATTGAGTGGTGGACGCTGTACATCAGTGCGTATTCTTTTTTCGACGTCTGCGTTTGCGCGCGGACCGTACCGTAGCTCGAGGCTGACTCTGACTCTGACGCGGTGGCCAGTCGGACAGCGCGTCGCGGCGCAGTACGCTGTCCATGAGCGCGTGTTCATCGCAGGCGACGCGTGCCACACGCATTCGCCCAAAGCGGGTAAGCGCTTTCCCAATTTGGTCGAACAGTGGGCCGGGTGACTGACGGGCATTGCTCAGGTCAGGGCATGAACGCGAGCATGAACGATACGCACAACCTCGGTGCGTCGTCTGTTAGCATCGTCTCTGCTGGAAATACAGTCTGATTCCGACGGATGCGCATAGCGTGGAAGCTGACGCACGTCTTGCGCGGATGGGCGGACCTGTCTCTGCTCAAGACGGTGAGCACCATTTCTCTGTTCTTCGCGCGGTGGGGGCACCCGTCGCTCGCTCACGCTCACCCGGCTCATCAATATTTAATGATCATGCAGTACGAGTACGAGCGCCGCAAATACGCCCAGGATCTGATCGACTTTGACAAGAAGTTCTCCGCCCTCTTCTCCGGCAAGCCGCGCACGATGGACAACGAGGCCGGCGTGTCCCACGAGGAATTCGTCGCGTGCGTAGCTCCCCGCCCCCCGCCCGCCTGCGTCCCGCTCACGCTGCCTTTTCTTTTTCTGTTTCTTTGTGCATTTGCATCTGCAGCGCCTTCAAGACGCACGGCATGTTCACGAGCGGCATCGGCGTGCACTACCGCCCGTCCCGCATCGTCGACGCGCGGCACCAGGCCTGCGCGCGCAGCCTCGTCGTCGGCGAGCGCATGCTCCCGCACGTCTTCGTGCGCGTGGCCGACGCGCGGCCGTTCGAGATCCAGGACCTACTGCCCGCGGACACGCGCTACAAGGTGCTCGTGTTCGCCGGGGACACTCGCGACGCGCCGCAGCGCGCGCGGGTGCTCGCCCTCGCGGAGGCGATGGGCCTGCCGCAGGCGTTCCTCCGCCGGCATGCAGGCGGCAGGGCGGACGCCGTGTTCGACGTGCTCACTATCAGCTCGGCGCCGAAGGACGAGGTGGTTTACACCGATCTGCCGGAGCTGTTCCGGCCGCACTGGTCAAAGTGAGTGTGCACGCTGCTCTCGAGTGCTAAGTGGGGCAGACCAACGAACGGCACACAGGGTTCTTGTCGACGACACGGACATGTTCCAGAGGAGCGGCGGGGGCGGGTACGCTGCGTATGGTATTGACCCGTCCAGCGGCGCGGTGGTCGTGGTGCGTCCTGACGGCTACGTCGGCATGGTTGCCCCGTTTGAGCACGTCGAGGACATCGACGAGTATTTCGCTTCGTTCATGACGGCTTCGCCATGACGTGTACCCTCAGTTCTATTGATATCCTGGGTCCGCTCTTACTTTGCACCTCATAACTGTATTCTATCTTCAATGCTATTGAGTTTTCGTGTGCACTCGCCGGCAGGTCCAAAGTAAGGAGCAGGGTATATCAAATATACGCTACTTGTCGCATCGCTAGTCCATGTTCGCCCGCTGCAATCAATCGGACACCCAAACACCAAACAGTGTCATTACACACAGGCAGTTACCAATACATTCCAAGACTCAACTATTCGATTCTACACTAACAGCTGTTGTTACATTAACAATGGGAAGATGGTTGTCCAAAGGCTCGCTGAGTTGAGACACAGTCTCCGGTTGGCTGGGTTCCGTCGGAACAGGAGGATTCCGTTTTTCAGGCGTTGCAGCAGGTTCCGGTGCGTCGGTGAGCAGCTGCGGTGGCTCTAGAGGCGGAGAGTCTGTGTGAACAACGCAATCTGGGTCCTTATCTGACTTCGCGGTTGGAGACGGCGATCGTGGCCGTTTGCGGGACCTGTCGGGCGCTCGATCGACATCTGGGCTATCGACATCTACGCTCGCGGAGACTTTGGGCACTTTCTCGGGCTTCGCAGGCTGGTACTTGAACCTACTCCACGACATAATCAATGAGTCAGCTCTAGCAGTATTTCACCAAGAATACTCACCTGAAGGAGATCCATGATGAGCCATCACCGGACGCGATCGTCTTCGTTGTGCACAGGTGACCGTCTGTGATCTCGAACTGCAGAGACTGCGAGCTATCTGTCTTGTCGGATGCAGGTGAAACCAGTCGCCGCTTCTTTCTTGGGGGGTACGAGCATTCGCATAGAGCAGTGCGCCGCTGGGCGTACTCCTTCAGCCGCTGAGAGCGGTTGCGCAGGCCCGAGGAGTGTGCGGTACCCTGCTGTCGATGTACAATCAGAAATCACATCATTGACATACAATCATTGAATACTCACCTTGACGAGCTCGGCCGCCAGGATCTCGACGCCAGCACCGTCATGGCTATTGCCCCAGCCGGCGCTGAGCAGAGTGCGGCCGTCATCCTCCGGGTCCCCGTCCACCATCATAGCCCCACCAGGGCCGGAGTGGCTTGGCAGCTTCAAAGAGTGCGACCCAAGCCCACCAATAAATCGCACCTCTTTCGTAATGCGCACCTCAAGGCGCAAATCCCGCCCGTCGCTCTTCGCCCGGCGAGCTTCGCTCCAGGTGATCAGCCCCGCGTGCACGGCACAGAGGAATAGATCGGAGTCGTCCGTGTAGACTCTGCGGACACCACGGATCTCCATCCGATGCGGGCGCGTCTGTTGGCCGTAAGGATGGGGATGCGCGGGGGGGACTGGCGGTAGAGCCGGTATGGCGGCGCCACCCCAGATGCGAGGGCGCGCGGGGCGCCGGGCGAGGAGGAACCCGGACGGGATGAGGATCGTCGCGTGGATCTCCCTTGTGAGCTCAGAAGGGCTCGCCTCTGGCGTCGCACCGGGGAAATCGAGATACGGGAACGGAGAGTGGGGCCAGATGAACGTGCCCAGATGCACGGGTGGCTGGGAGTACGTATAGAACGGCGTCGGCGACCGTTGCGGCACGGAGACAGAGGTGGACGGACGCATGTTAGGGGGGAAGAGTGGCTCGGCCTGCCGATTATGCGCATATCCTGGCGGAGGCGCGCTGCCGGGAGTATGTGCATGTGGGTGCGTGTGCTGATGAAGGTGACCGCTCGGGAGCGAGTGTTGCAGATGGCCCTGCTGCTGCCGGGGAGGAGGCACGACGACGTGGGCCATAGGCGGGCCTTGGCCGCCATTGAGGCGTGGATAGCCCGCCTGTTGCTGCCGCTCATGCATAAGCTCGAACGCGGGGTGCACATCTCCTTGCGGCATCCCAGGACCCATACCCGGCTGCCCGTGCGACGTGTTCGCGGGTTGCTTGCCGGCCTTGGAAGACGGATGCGCATGGCCCTGCGAGGAGGCCGAAGGAGACTGATGATGTCGGTGCACGAGGTGATGATGGTGGTGCTCATGAGGCTGCGCCGCCGGATGCCCGCGCGCCGCGTCGATGTCCATACGTTCCCGCTGCGCACGCTCGTGCCGCTCGCGCTCCTGCTCCTTCAACCACATAGCCTCCCTCTCGCGCATCACCCTCTCTCGCTCCCGTTCGTCCATCTGCTCTTCCCGCGTCATGGCCGCTTTCATCATCCTCCGCTCGTCGCGCTCGCGCTCCTTGTCCCGCAGCGCCTTCTCCTTGCTCAGCGCGCGCTGCTCCGCCTCCCACATCTCCCTATCCCGCCGCTCACGTTCACCGCGCTCGCGCTCGCGCTCCATCCGCTCCATCTCCATCAGCCTGCGCTCCCGCTCTTGCGCGTCCGGGCCCATGATCACACCCGGGACGCTGCCCGACGAGCGCGAAGGCGTGAAGCGGGACCATTGGTCTGGAGGCGGCTGCTCGTGCATCGAGTGCTGGGCATGTTGCGCCCTCGCCTGCTGATGATACCGCTCGCGCTCGCGCTCGGATTCGATATCAGCCATGCCCGGGCCATCAAGCCGCAAACCATCCATCTCACGCTCCCGAATCCACTCGCGCTCCCTCGCGCGCTCCTTCTCGTTGAAGTTGTGCCGCTCCCGCTCGCGACGGGCCCCGGACGACTCACCGATAGCAGCAGCCCGCTCCTGCGCCCTCTCCCGTTCGCGATCCCGTTCGCGCTCCTTCATGCCGTAGCTTGGTGGTATTCCCATCGGTCCAGTGCCCGGTCCCGAGAGCATCTGCGCCTGCGACGGCGGGGGTGGTGGGCGCGCATTCATGCCAGGTCCAACAGCAACGCCCGCTGCACCTGCCAATAGATGCGCGGACCCCGAGTGCAAACTCATTTGGGAAGGATGGGCGCGGGGTCCCATGTGGTCACGATCACGCTCGCCTCGGTCACGCTCGCGGTCGCGCGGGTCGTCACGGTCACGCAGGCGCTCTCGGTCTTCATACGGAGGACGCTGCAGGCTGCCCATCACCGGAGATACCCGCCCAAGGTCAAAGGCACCGGGACGCGAGTGCGTGCCGCCGGTCTGATGCTGATGACTCGGTGGCGGTGGGGGGTGGCCACTGTACATTGGCGATGGTTCCATGAAACGCGGAGAGTGCACGGGATGGGCAGGCGGCATGCCAGGACCGGACGTAGGCGCGGAGCCCGGCGGAGGCATCACGGACATGGGATATCCTGGTGGGAGCATGTTGGGGGCTACGCCGGGGCCAATTTTGGACGGCGGGCCAACAGGAGGGCCAGGCATCGGCTGCCTTCCCTGCATGTACATCGGTGATGGTGTACTTGGATGCGTATGGGCATGATGGAGGTGCGGTCCTGGCTGTGTACGTGAGGGGGGAGGCAAGGTGCGGTGGTCATGGTACGGAGGAGGGCCTGTAAAGAAGAGTAAGCGCGATGCGGCATTAGTACGCCAAGTTAGGAAGTCGCGAAGCATGCCTGCAGGTGGTCCGTACAGCCTTCCGAGCGCCGACCACGGTGGCACTAGGCACGGATGCTCCGAGAGAGCCAGTGTACCACAGATAAAGCAGAATGACGGATAGCAAGAATACTCAGTGGGCAACATCGCGAGGCAGATTTTGTTTTCGGATTCATGAACGGCCAGGCGAGGCAAGTAAACGGGCACTAAGGGGCGAGAGTAGTCTCTGCGATCGCCTCGGGCATGGTCAATCTAGCCGCAAAGGAACGACCAACAGAGCTGAGCGTGTGGCTCAATGAACGAGCTGAGTGACAACTGCAATATCATGGACGGTACTGCCACGACCTTATCTCCATTTCTGCAGACAGCACCCGCCCACTTCGGCAACCAGAAGTATGACGAATGACGTACCTGCATTTCCTGCCGACCCTGGGATCGGCCCAGGCAGCTCGTGCGGACGCTGCGCCTCCGGATTTGACCGTGCATGCTTGAGTTCGTATGGTGGTGGCAAGAAAGGATGCGACGGTGGCAGTTGGCCACGGCCGTACTCCGTGAGCGGATAGCGGTGAGGTGGCGGGGGCGGCGACGAGAGCCTGTGCGAGCGAGGAGAGGGCTGCGGGGTGGGCTGCGAGTGCTGCTGCGGGGGCGAGATATACGTGTGCTGTGGCCGGTCGCGGTCGACGATGCGCTCCTGGGGCGGAGAGTGATGTGCTGGGGGCTGTGGTGGCTGCTGCGACTGCTGTTGCTGTTGCTGCTGCTGCTGCTGCTGCTGTTGCTCGCGGTCACGCTCACGCTGGTGGTGCTGTCGACGACGCTCGTGGTCGTCGGAGGGCGAGTCCTGGAGGAGGGCGGCGACGTTCATGGGTGGAGGGTGAGGGAAGGAGGGAAGCGGGAAGCGGCTGAGAAAGTGTTGAAGCGTCAAGAAAACGCGTCGCTGATCACAGGGGCAATCGAGATCGTTATCTCAATTCGACCATTCTAGCGTTATGACATAAACAGCATTGTCTCGCGTCTCCCCGCCCTTTCTGCTGCCGTTTGCACTCGCAGATCCCTCAAACAGGGACATGTGCACCGTCTCTTGCTCGCCTCGGAGCGTCGTCGGGGCACGCAACCCCCTCGAGGATCCGGAACAGGACCGAGAGAGCCTGTTGCTATATTCGATCCCACGCGACATTCGATCATTCCGCCTATCTGAGATCTGGCGCTTATTCCTCCGCCCCGCGTCTAGCTGTTCCAGTCCTCCGTTCCAGGTCCCACGCGTCGCTTCAAATAGATTCATTCTGCAAATCGCATCTGTTGCGAAAGTTCATCATCGACAGATGGACTCCACACTGGGCGATATTTGCACAGCAATGCAGTCAATATACGATAATCGTAGAGTACCAGCACAAGACAGCACAGCACAGATAAAATACACTGTTCAGCATCATCACGCCTCTAATCGGTGGGGATATGTTTATTGATCGCGTCCGCGAGGTCTTTCCCGTTCTTCGCACTCTGCAACTGCACAACACGTAGCCACACATGCAAAGAAAATATCAGCACACAATGGCTGCATTGACAGAGAGCCACGCACCCGCAAGTTGAAGTGTGTCGTAGTGGTGCCTTCGAACATGCTAAATCGGAAGTACCGATGATCTGTCTGAAGCTGACACTGCATCCCCTTGAACAACGGCGCGTTGAGGATGACAGTGTACACCGCATCCTTTCTCATGACTGTGCAGCAAAGTCAGTCTGTATAAGAGGAGCAGGACTGAAGGCACTCACTGAGCCGCGCCCCAGTCCCGTTGTCTCGCCGTACATTCAGCCGCATTATACCCATGCCTCGCTCCTTCCAGGCGCCATTGTCAAGAGTGAAGAGCTTTCCTCGCACCTGGCAGACTGTCTTTTCATCTTCCTCGCCTGTTGGGACTGCACGAGGTATGTCAGCACACAGCGAGTACACGACAAGCATGACACGCACTCGCTTGCTCATGCAGATCCAGCGCTTGCCCTTCCTCGCTCTGCTCCTCGCCATCCTTCTGCGCGCGCAATCGCTCTCCAAAGGTGCACGCACCATCCTCGTCCGCAGGCGCGCCGTTGCCGTCCAGAATGCCGAGGCCAATCGCAGGCTTCCCCTGCCCCTCTACCGCCTCTGCCAGCACGGGGCTTCCCCGCCTCGGCGTTGAGTGTGCCGAGAAGCTCTGTGCCCCACCGGCCGCGTAGGCCGAGAACGCGTTTGTCGCGCGCGTACTCGCGGGCCGAGTGGGCGACCGGCTCCGCGCGAGCCTGCCGAAAAGAGGCGGCGGAGACTTTGGCCGCTTGGCCACAGACGCGAAGGGAGATGTGGACGACGCAAAGGCTTCGAAGCCAGTGCGTTTGTGCGCCAGCTGGGAAGTCACCGACTTCTCAGACGGCTTGAAAGGCGATGACGGGCTGCCGATGCTGGAGAACGGGGAGACAGTCAGGTTTGGACTGGGATGTGGGCTCGTGCTCGTGCTTGCCCACGCAGAGGACGAAGGAGACGCGTTCTTCGACCCAAATATGCTTGCGCCAGACACCGACGCAAAAGGAGAGTTGGTCGACGCGTAAGCCATGAACCCGCCCTAACAGAGAGCATGAGTGGAGTTCCGATACCAAAATAACACACATACCAGTTTTGGCGTGACCGTGGTCGAGGATGGCGGTGTCTTCTTCTCGGCCGTACTCTCTCCCGCATTCTTTTCCACCGCCTTCTCCGCCTTTTCTGACTTCTCGCTCGTCGTTCCCTCATCTGGCGGCGGCGTAGGGCGTTTCGTGACGCGGGGGTTCGCGTCGGCCTCTGGGTCGTCCCGCGGCCGCTTCGTAGCGCCAGTACTTGCAGCGGGGACGACGCCGTTCACTTTGTGCGAGACCTCTTCCGGCACAAGCCTCTCGCTCACAGTCCGGTCGGCGAGCTTGCGCTTCACGCCCTTCTCTTGATCAGACTCAGACCCGCGGCGAGACAGAGGAGGAGTCAAGGGGACCTGAAGAGGTGATTCAGGAGCCTGAGTAGGCGAGGCAGGAGCCTGAATAGGCGATGCAGGAGCCTGAATAGGCGATGCAGGAGCCTGAATAGGCGATGCAGGAGCCTGAATAGGCGATGCAGGAGCCTGAATAGGCGATGCAGGAGCCTGAGGGGGTGATGCAGGAGCCTGAGGGAGTGGATCAGGAGCCTGCGGAGATGATAAGGGTGCCTGAAGGGGTGACGCGGGCGCTTGACGGGGCGACGCAGGAGGCGACGCAATGGGATGGGATGCAATGTGAGGGGAGTCGGGCGTTTGGGAGGGAGAGACCGAGATAGGAGGGATGGTAGAGGTACTGGAGACCTCAGGGTGCATTTCCGCACTGGTGAGGTCCTCAGGATCCGATAACTGCGCGTCGGGAGGAACCTCGGCGGGGTCAGCGGCGCCGCCTTGGTCCATCTCACTCTCCTCCTCAGCGATGATGGGAGGGTTCTCACCCTGCAGCATTGCAGGCGGCACGGCTATCTCCTCACCTCCGGCCACCTTGGCCTCGATCTTCTCGTCCTCCTGCTCGTAGGCGACGTCCATGTGGTGGTCCTTACGGACATCGGGAACCTGCTCCTTGTGCATGTTTTGCCAGGTGATGTCCTCAACACCCTGGCTTATCTGACGAATCTTGATATCGTGCGGAGGGGAGCAACTCTGCACGGAGTCTTCGTCTTCTTCCTCTGTGGGGTCAAGCTGTGCGCTGACCCGGTTCTTCTTCGCCGGCGTCCGCCGCTCCTTGTGGCCGGCATGTTCGGGGTCTATGTCCTGTAGTGACGTGGGTTAGCGGACGGCTTCGGATACGGTGTGGACGAGCGCGAGTGACAAGACACATGTAGAGGTGGGAGTGGAAATAAAGAGTGCCGGGCGCGTCGTACTGTGCACCTGGTACACAGAAATCAAGACAATGGACGACATACGATGACAGGAGTCTGTGGTGTTGATGGTTCGAGAGACACCTCTCTTTCACGTTTTCTCGATGCCTTTGATTCTTGTGTCGTCGCTTATGGTGAGACATTCATCGCGAGCAGCCACAAGACGCGGCTCACCTGCCGTATCATCCGGGGATGGTGGGCGGGAGTGTTGGAAGTCGCGCTCCGGTGTCTTTGGTGCTGTATCGTCCTGGTCGCTCATCGTCATGGTGGTTGGGAGTGAAGCCGGTGAGGCGCGAACAAGGGGTGGTGGTCAAGTTCGTGAGCAGTGGCCGGCTTCGATTTGGGGCGCGGGATTATTGTAAGTACTTAGCACCCCAGATAAGGCATCATATGATGCGGACCCTAAATCAGGGTAAGTAAAAGTAAACCACGTCATTCAAAATCATTGTTATGTTATGTAAGCAAATCTAGTGTGGTCCCAGACCACTTTCGTATCGTCGTATATAATAGCCAGGTCGCTCGGTCCGCTGTGTCTCGTCGCCTCTCCTCTCGAACCGTCCGCTGAGCTTCCCGATTCTCTTGCCCTCGTCTTCCTAGCCAGTCTTTGGAAAGCCCTTCTAAGCACAGCCTCAAGGAGAGGCCAGGGCTAATCTAGCGGCCTAGCCTCTCCCCTCATATACCGTCAAGTTCTCCAGAAGTTACCCTATCGTATCGGGCTTGGCTTGATACCTTGCGTAGCTTGTGGGGAGCGCAGCGCTTTGTTCGCGTTGTCAAAGACGGGATATTACCATTCGTCTGTTTAGGAAACACAGCATCCGTTTGTAAGTTTTCTTTGAGCCGGGTCATGGAGCACATTCAAGCATGGGCCACAGTCCTCCAATTTGTCTTCCTAATTTCAGTTTTTCACGCCACCACACAGCAAATTTCTCTTTTCAGTTTGCAAAATTTGCCTTATATAAACGGTTTGTCTGTACCTCGTACCTCTTCGCCACATTGCACCTCTTCTACGCTATCGACATTTCGCGTTCAAAATGGAAGTAGGCGAACACATTGAAGAGTAAGTTAATTCTCATACATATCGGCCTATTCTCATAAGGCGTAGCGTCAAGCCTGACGGCGATCCGCCTTCGCAGAATCTACGCCGTCTTCCGAACTTGTCCCAGGAAATATACGACAGTTTCATCGACATGCTCAATAGCTCGGGTCCGACGGCAAGGGCGGATCTTCAGGCATGCGCCCTGACCTGCCGCGCCTGGCTCCATCGTAGCCGCTCCATACTCTACCGCCGTATCCGTCTGAAACCCCTTACGAATATCGAACACTTTTTCGAAATCTACACCCCTGAGCGGCTTCTCCCCTACGTACGCGAGGTGGCAATATCTGGATGCTTGATGCCCCACATTTACCATGGACGGGATGCCGACTCTGGGCTTGGGCTCGGTGGCCAACCTGACCACGCTTGGATAACCGTCATTGTTCCCCTTCTCGCGCGATTCAGCAATATCGAATGGCTCGTCCTGAATGACCTCAGCTGGGGTGATATTGAAACATCCACACGACACTTTCTCCTTACCCATTTTTCGAGCGCTCCGCGGGTCACCCTATCCGCCATCGATTTTTGGAACTCGAATCAACTCTTCCGAACATTGCAGTCATTCCCCCGCCTCGCCGGCCTTAGCTTGGAGTCCATATCGTGGCACAAAGCGAATCACTCCATGCGGCAGCTGACCAGACCAGAGCCGCTCACATTACGTTACCTTCATCTGGGCCACACCGAATTTGCGCGCTATGGTCCCTTCGTGCGCTGGATGATTGGAAATCGGGACACAGTGACTGTGGACGAGGCCCTGATCACATGGGAGGATACTGAAATTCGAAGTCTTGTAGACCTCATGAGGACAATTGCGCCTTCGCTGAAATTGCTGGTGTACCAACAGTCCGCCACGCTACCTGGATGTAAGATAAATGTTTCTTACGTTATCCTGAATATTGAGCCATTTTCTGACAGCCGATGTTGTTCAAGCGCGCTTTGCAACGATGAATACCCAAGCTGCAATGCCGGGTGCTGCGATACAGCCTGCAGTTCACAATGGCGGTCAGGCGGCTGCTTTAGCTCCGATTCATGATGACCATATTGGTCAAGGCGAGCTCCCGCACGTCGTTGCACCCGCAAACATTCTCGATGATCACGTCTTTGGCGGCTTCCATGTTCATCTTGGTGTACAAGATCATGATTTCGGCTTCGATGATGATGACGACGATGACGACGACTCAGATTCGAGTCCACCCCTTGAGCTTGATGATGATGAGCCTGAGGATCCAGAAGTTATCGAGAAGAACGACGAGGAGAACACCGACTTTGTTCGCGAAGACGAGGCGAACCAAAGGGGGCTGGAGTTACTGAGACTTGCGCCTATTGAACGAAGTGCGATCGCGAGAATCCTCGCCCGTATCGTCTGGTCCACCATGGCACCGTTTGGCATCAAATTGGTGTGCCAGCTGTTATCAACTCGTACAAAGCTATTTTCATTGACGCTGCTTTTCCCGGCCGCCCATCTCTGGCACACGGCGGATTGGGGGACGATCGATGCAATGCTTGATGATGCGACCCCCCGCGCGCCGAGCGGCACTTTGTTTGTCCTCGCGCTGCAGAGCAATACGCAAGTCAACATCAGCTGGGAGGATTTGCGGAAGGTGATGGCAGCTAAGTTACCAAGGCTGTTTGAGCGGAGAGTGTGGGGTGTAAGGTTTGGTAAGACTGTGTTGTGGCCCGGGTGTACTGTGTAGGAGGATGACCCCATCGTGGCGAATAGTTGGTACGACAGGCTGGAGGTGTTCGCCTAGCTGTTGTATAACACGAGTCTCTACGTAGTCAAACAGGTCGGATTGGAGTCATCAGCGGCACTTCGGTGAGCAGCGCCACATCCTGCGGAAGTGTAAGTGACAATTCCGCATGCTCAACTGGTACACGTGCTGACCATTCGGTGCTCACCCGAGTCGTCGAGCCTAGTCATTATTCGAAGAGTGCGGGTGCCAACCTTAACTCAATGTACCCGCTTGGATAAAAAATTCACCGCGACCAGGCGTAGCTTGACCGCATGCTAGAACTCGCATTGTAGCCATTGCTAGCATTCCTGAGTAGGTGCTTTCGTAGAGGTGTCAACGACATTGCCGGATGTGGTGTAGCAGGTGCGGCGTTTATCAGTCTGGTACCAAAGCACCATCAAAAATCCATGATGTGGCGAGATTCTGTGCTCAGCCTTGGGTCGACGCAAATTCTCGATTTGTGTCATCCGTGTCACTCCCACATGTATGCTCAGGCCAGCACTTCAGTCCCTGGCTTTGTGTTTGAAACGTTCAAGTAGCTTTGCTAGTAGTTAGACGGGTACAGTTGTTTCGGCCATATAATGTGACGACTATCAGCTGTCTGTGACGACTTTGGGGATTGTGGTGAGCCTCATGTTATGCGTATGCCATGCTGACTGACTTTTTACAGCGGGCCCGGCATTGGTCCCCGACGTGTCGTTGCCAAGAGCCGTCACCGGCATTGTCAGCGGTTCGTATTGCCAGTGGCGTTGCTGTGCTTGTTCTATCCAAATGTAGCTAGCGGTTTGTGGTGCTTCTTTTGAACGCGTGGCTGAACAACCATTGACCCCGAAGGGATCCGCAGTATAAATATACTCCGCCCGTAGTCTTTCTCTGTGTCTCTCCATCTACTCTGTCGTCTTCCGAATCCTAATCCACAATGTCCACTCTCGACATCACTACTCCGTAGGTCACTGTTCTTCGTCATTCCATGTTAAAATCTCATCGCCCGTAGCGCCTCCATCGTACACGACGGCTGCATTATTATAAAGCGTTCAACTAGACCGGACGACATCTCTTCGATCCACACACGTATTGCCTTACCCTCTGTGCGCGAGATCGGACTGTTCGCTCACACAACTCACGACGAGAATGGGGAACACGACAAATCTGGGCTGGACAAAGATGACATGCCCAATCATGCGTGGCTCGACGAGCTAGTCCCAGTACTCTCCGAGATCGCTCAGGACTTCCACTTCGAGAAGGTGACGCTATGCGACTTCAGCTGGGGCTGTGTCACCAAATCCACGCGAGAATTTCTTCTCTCTCGCTTCTCTAGCGCCACACACTTGAAACTTTGCACGGTTGACTTCTGGTACACCAACGAGCTTCTGAAGACTCTGCAGTCATTTCCGCGCCTCACTCAACTTGAGATCGTCAACTGTGAATGGGAATTTCTCAATCTCTCGCAAGAGCAGGCCACAAGGACGGAAGAACTCAATCTGACACATCTCATCTTGGACGAGGCTCATACGCAGTACGATCCAGTCGTGCTATGGCTTCTCGGCAACGGCGAACGCGCCATCGTGAATGTCAGTAGTGCACATATCGTTTGGGAGAACACTGATGCTCGGTGTCTCGTTCGTCTTATGGAGAAGATCGCACCCTCCTTGCGAAACTTGACATATCGCCAAAAAGTCAAAAGTGAGTCCCTGACGCATGACACGGCAACTGTATTCCTGACAATCACCACTGACTTTCAGATTTGGTTGAATGCACCCCAACGTTACGCGGCCTTGATGGCGATGAACTCATGGACCCCAGCTTTTCTGCAGTGCTGGCCGAAAGGTGGACAGCTCCCGAGAACGAGAAAGTTGCTGCAGTAAAGGCTATGGAGCTTCTGAGAACCACGCGGGTAAATCGAGGTGTCCTTACTGAACTGGATGCGTGCATCGAATGGTCCCCGTTGGCCGTATTCGGCATCGAGCTACTGTGTCAACTCCTTTCACATCAAGCCACATCCGTCTCCTTGACGCTCATCCTGGACTCTAGTCCCAATGACACAGAATGGGACACCGTCGACGAATTGTTGAACACCTTAACCATCAACAAAACGACGCTCGCCGTGTTTGAACTGTGGCTCGATGGAGATCTTGCAAACTCCCTATTCTTTGACGATGGTGCTCCAATCATGAGGAGGCTGCCTCGTTTGGTGCAGCAGAATATTTGGCAGATCGGATATGTTGATAGTTCCTATGATTCCGCTTCCGACTAGGCTCCATGTCTCCAACAACGTCTAATGCATATCATATTAATATCGCACTGTCGCGGCTGGGTGTTTATGGCTCATTGGTTAGTCATGACCTCGTCTCATGGTTGATTCTCGACACTGTGGCATCCAACTTCGCTAGCCGGCTCCTTATATAATCAACACTACTTCCTCTAAGTATGCCCGATCGCTGCCACGGCAGTGTAGGCGGGCGCTAGAGTAACTCGAACTTGCTTCCAGCACGTAGTCGAGCCTTGGCTACTACAATTGAGCGGAGTGCATCCAATTGATCGTTCCGGTATGGTACTCGAGGGTAGTTGTACCCTGGGCGATGGTGTGTTGTTTTGATCCTGCTCAAGACTGTCAATGACTGCACAGGATGGCGGTGTCATTCAAATCAATCATGTTGTCTTTGTGCCAGTGAAAGATAGCTCATAGCTCGCAGTCCGCGCAATTTAAGAATGACTGCTAGGTGTTACAAGTACGTGCTTGATTCAAGGTAGCAATCTCGTTGAATCGTAGTGATGCCAGCTGACAACGCACGCATCCCAACGGCGGCCACAGACTTGTTCCAAGCTGCGCGATCTGACTTCACCACGGATAGGTGATTGACTTGAGACTGTTAACAAAGCTGAAGTCCAACGTTTCTGCGTGTTCCAATCTTCGAACGCGGCCAGGGAACTTCTGTGCACGAGTTCATGCATCAATAGTGTAGTGGTGCGATCACAGTAGCAATGCGAGCTTGTGACTTGAGTAGTTGTTTACTACTTACGATCCGGGTTCTTCTCTTGATTATGACCTATTCAAAAATGCTGAGCCCCTAGCAGTCCCCGGGCCTGGACGCTCGTCCGGACCGAACTAGCGAATCGTTTGCGGAGTTGCGTAAAGGCTCATGTACAAGAAGATCCGTAAGGTTTGCCTTCCGGACACATCGCCAACGCACAACAGCTGACAAGTCACAGTCAGGCCTCGAATAGCAAATCCTAACACGTCTTTCCTATCGACATACCTGCTCTTGTGCGTGTACCATCACTTTACTCACCCCTGTTAACGACGTTCACTTACTCCATCGTCCCAATACGAGGAAAAAGGAGTAGGTTCGAGCAATTTACCTCCACCTAGGTGCTCTAATTTGAGCCTCGTTCATGAGAGCTCGTATGGCTGGGTTGATCCGCCGCGCCATAAAAAGTCAAGTGTACTTTTCCAGCGCAGACAAGGTCCTGCCACAAGGCAGTCGATCGCTAAAGCCTTGTGGCGGGCGGCATTGTGGCTCGCATGACGGTGGCTTCTAGACATGCAGATATATAACCTTTGCTTTGTTCCTCACCGGTACTCTTTGCTCCCTTCTTTCTCGCGATTCACACTGTGGTCTGTAGGTCTCTTTCGCACAGTTCGTTCCATATTTGAGACTCATACACAGCAGGCATAGAATATGTCCTGTTCTACGCCAAAAATAATTGACCAGACCATTCGCGGTAGTCGCCTCTTATTGAACTCATCACTTGACTCCGAAGCGCTCGTACGCGAGGTCGCCATTGGAATACTCAACCCGACCCGACGTTGCTTTTTCATATGCTATGATACGATTAACGACGGGTCGCCGTTTCATATGCCGTGTCCAGGAAAGTAGCTGGAGGCTCCTTACGTAGTACACTCATAGTACTGAGCGCTCCCCAGACTGATTGTGGCTGAGATGTTGATTGCACAACATATCATAATTGCGATTCGATCTCGATCATCACGATACTCTAGCGAGGAGTCAGGACGCGGGATGGATCCTTATTTGAGAACGGCTCCTTCAACCTCTGCGAAGGGTTCTTGCGGTAGGGTATCTCAGTGAATCGCAATGGAAGTCTATACATTTTGGTCACTGGCGGCACTGTTCACATATCGTCAATTTCTAAAACCATTGTCGTCATGGTATCGCGACCACACACAGCATCGATGATGAATGGAGTTCATAGTATTTCCAACGCTAGCAATGGACTCATCCTAGGTGAGCATTTTGAGGGCGTAGACCTTGTTGGGTCTGTAAGATCCACGTCTTGGGCGCTTTGCTTTCTTAACACAGCGCACCACCCCTGGATGGACACGGACAGCTCGAGGCTAGTTTGGGCTTCTTGTTGCACGACTTTCCAGTAACCTTGATTTTTAGGAACCGTCATTTGTGTTGATGATTTTTCTGAGTATGACGGTACCGTTGTCACTCGTGCTAGACGAAACCCACGAGGAGGCCTCCGAAACAGCATGCCGAAACGCCACCGCCGATGGCTGCAGGCACAAATCGGGGTCAAAGCGTTTTCTTTTGTTGTCGGCTAATGGCGCTAACGTTCGCTTTGATTTGACGCTGGCCTAGGAAGAGTTAAATATAAAAGCCTCTCAGTACTCTTCGGACAGCGCCTCTGCATCTCACAAAGCCACACTACTGTCCTCCAGCGATACGCCATGGAAGTTGACCCCCCTGACGCGCAGCACGTGGCTCCCAGCATTCATTCTATCGCGTCGACCTCAGATCCCACCGTCGAGAGTGAAGAAAGAGTCCTCTCGTCACAGATAACGCACATGATTATTGACGAGGTCTACAATCTCACGGGTTTAAACGGTGTCAAGACATGTAGCCTGGTCGCCGGCTATGGTTGGCTTTCTATCTGCCGAGGCATCATCTTCCGTCGTCTCGCCCTCACGCCATTGACGGACACCAAGGAGCTCTACGAGATCTTCACGGAGGAGAGACTACTACCCTTCGTGCGCAAGTTGGACATCAGGGGACACCTGACATATAACGCAGAGGGGGAAGAGGACACATCTGGGATGGGCGAAGACGGCCTCCCTGATCACTCGTGGATCACTGCTCTCGTCCCCTTTCTACAGAGGCTGAATTACGGCCCGAAAATCACATCTATAAAGTTGTACGACCTCGACTGCGGATGCATGACATCAACCACCCTGCAGTTCCTGCTTTCTCATTTCTCCTCCATTGCAAGACTGCATCTCTCCTCGGTCAATTTCCGGAATGCAAATCAGTTCATCCGGATACTAGACTCTTTTCCAGCCCTCCGCAGCCTTAAAGTCAATCGTACGGAATGGGGGACACTCGCAAACGCGACTGAGGGCCAGCTCACCAAGAGAGCGCCGCTCAGGTTAAAGACTCTTCGCTTAGGTCCTACTATCGGCCGGTATTCGCCAGTTACGCGATGGCTTTGCGGCCAACGCGAACTTCTGGTCATTGAATACGCATGGATCGTGTGGGAATATACGGAGCTGATGGACGTTGTAGAGTTGATCAGGGTCATCGCCCCTTCCTTGAAAAGGTTGAAATACATACAATCCATTACTCATTCGAATTGTGAGTACACGCGGCTAGGTGGCACTAGTTGTGTACTGACTTCAATAGCCGATTCTGAACTTATGCCCAGTGTCCGCGAGGCCCTAAACCGGGAATTCAACACGACTGAAGCATTGGGACAAATGCTCAGCGGTTCTCCGTTCATATTTCGTCGTGAACCCGAAACTTGTGAGCCTCCAATCTCTGATAATGGATCGCCATGTCTAACCGAAGGGTATGTGACACAGGGGACAAAAACGCCGGCGATCGGCTTGAGGACGACGAACCTGTAGATTCTGACTTCGTGAATCAGTTGATGAGGGAGTGGACGGTCCACAGAGACGAGGGCGAGGTTTTACACCAAGCCATGGCGCATTTGGCCGAGGCACCTATCCAGAACAGTGCCATTCCCGATCTGAACATGCATCTCATTTGGTCCCGGCTGGCTATGGCCAGTATCAAAATGTTCTGTCAGCTGGTCTCAGTGCAGGCCCGACACGTCTGCCTCACGCTCGAGCTCGAGAAACTGGTTCCTGGAGAGACCGAGTGGGCTCTCGTTGACGACATGTTGGACGCTGCCAGCATGCAGGGGCCCACTGGTGGCGAATGCGTCTTCGAACTACGGTTCTGCGGACCGCTCGTACAGGACCTCTTGATCGAAGGTCCCAGGATCGAATTTGAAGGTGGCTCCGAGGACGAAGGTGTCTCCGAAGACGAAGATGATTATGCGGACGGAGGTATTTCCGAAGACGAAGATGGTTCCCAGGGCGAAGATGACTCCCAGGGCGAATACGCCTCGTTGACCTCAGTTGAACAAAAGCTGCCCATAGTGCACCAGCGAGGTATATGGATTGTGAGCGAGGCGGATAGCACAATCCGATTGACCCCTTGGTTAACGGCGCAGTGAAATGAGGTTAAGATATATGTATCTCGGAATAGTGATTGTGTTACATGATGGTATCGGGCCGTGATAAAGTGCATTTGTGACCTTAAATATACTGGTGAAACCGGCTGTCATCGGGACACTGCATCAGTTGAAGTCGTGAATCTATAGGCGCCCAGCCACACACGTTCCGGTTTGGGAATGACACCACCATTGGTCTCAGCCGTTACCTCTCTCTCCTGTGCTACGACAAACACTTGTCTTGTACACCAGTCTTTAATTACATGGCTCCAAGGAAATCTAGCGCTTCCCCGGCGTCGTCCAAGGCGAAGAGCGTACCGTCACCACCTCTCAAACAGGGCACGCTTGGCTTCGCCTCCACGAAGCGTGCAGCATCGACCAATAGCCTAGCGAAAGGCAAGGTTGCCCGCCCCGCACCTAAACGGGCGCGCTCCTCTACGGCTGAGGAGCGCTTTCAGGATATCATAGAGATTGGCGATAGCGATGTCGAGCTTGAGCCCCTCTCCTCCGAAAGCGATATTGCGGAAGAAGACGTTGGCCGTATGAAGGCAACGAGGCCGACGCGGACGTCGACCGCGGACGAGCAGCGTGTCCAGAAGAGAAGGCGTATCGGGACGACGGAAGTGTTTGGTTCTAGGGATGGCGCTGAGAACGCTGAAGGTAGAAGGGGCGCCCTCGGCAAGAAGGCGAACGGTGGAGAGGAGGTAGCGGAGGTGACGAGGAAGGAGCGACTGGATCCGGCCGACAGCCGCTGGATATCGCATTACGGGGAAGTGAGAGAGCTCATGGGCAACTTGGAACCCGGTGAGTGCATGCTTCTTACCGCATGTTCAAAGTGCATGTTCCAGAGCCGACTATATGCGGTCCCCGCATACGCGTCGCAGCTCCGAACAGTGATTCTTGACGTCGACTGCAACATATAGCAAGGGTGTCCTTCCATGATGTCTGGTTATATGCGCGCTTGTCGCCCTTGGTGAAGCATGCTAGTAGCCATGCTGTGTTCATGTGCGCCCCGTTCCGACGACTTCTGTGCAACGGTTTGTGGTTACAAAACGGATACCGTCTGACATCTCTCGCTCTCTTAGTACATGGGAAGGGCCAGACCATGATTGATCATATCCTTCGCGTTTTTGACCTGTGAGTGGACCATGTACTTTGCTCGTCCTTTTGGCCCTAATCAAGTACGGATGTCGTAGCTCATATGATTATGGTCCTTGCATTGGCGTAACACGACTCGAACGCTGGGAGCGCGCAGAAGCGCTGGGTTTGAAACCCCCATCTGAGGTGCGTACTACAGTCTTGATGCCGTATGGGGTTGGTAACTGTGCATAGGTGAGGGATATCCTGCTGACTATAGAGGGTGGCGAGAATCCGCGATATTCGGAATGTGTCTTCTTTGGCGAGGTCTAGAGTTCGCCCGCTCCATCGTCAGTCTCTCCTCATCTGCTCTGATACTTGTCTGTGCTCTGGTGGTCAATTCCTACTGTCTACTGCTGTATCATATGTATGCGCAACTATACCCTCTATTGCCAAAATGATTGCGGTACTCTGGGCCCTAGTTGCCTAAGGCGGCCGCTGCTGGGACATCAGCTGTTTGAGCACATTTAATCACCTCTTCGGTGCCGCGAGGAACGTGAAGTACCCACGGCTCCTAGCAGGTGTTCGGTGCGTATTTATAGCTGCAACTAAGTATAGCGAGACGCTGTTGTGGTACTCAGCAAGGCATCAGTTTCTGTCGCGGCCAGACCCTTGCTCCCCGCACGTTAAAATTAGAGAGACGAATGCGTATCTCCGCAAAGCGCGCTGTACTGCTCGCCTCTTCTCCACATTCGCTCGCTTTTAGCGTCGACTTACTGACTCCACAGGACCTCGTCGATGTCTTTGTCTGACGGTTCCAGTGACTCCAGTCACGGACCCATCATCCACAGACCGCAGCCGTATCCTTACGAAACCGCTCAACGTCCATTCGAAGGGTCCCCCTTTGCGCCTTCGCCCAGCAATGCCGTCAGACCCACTGCCTCGCAGCCTGCGATTCCGCTTGGCTTTGCTGGTCAGTCGTTTGCGACAGGACTGTCAACCAGCGTGCCCAACCCGCCCGCCACGTTGACGCAGCGTATCAAAAGTGACGTGCGTCGCGCGGTTGTTAGCGTAGGCGCGGAACCCGGTATCGACCCGCGACGGGCTTCTGCAAACGTGCACTATGGATACATTCACCAGCAGTGCGATATTGAAGTCATCGACTACTCCCCGGACCAATGCAGCTTTGGACACATGAAGAATCAGCAGCTGATCGAAATGTTGCAAGATTCGGCGGCCAGCGAGAGGGAGCCATGGGCGAACGTACGTTGGATAAACATCGGGGGTATTAGCTGGGACGTCATTAGCGCAATGGCGCTGCGGTATGGTGAGGATCCTTTCAACAGGTATCATTCGGGCTAGTCGTTGCTGAGAATAACGATAGACATGCATCCTCTCGCCATCGAGGACCTTATTCATCAACATGGGCGTGCGCGGTCGAAGGCCGACTACTATCCTAAACACTTGTTCATGCGTATATTGTGCCACAGACTCGCTCCAGACGACGATATGTCCCTCGATGCCTCACTGGGACATGTTCCGCTTGACCCGTCCGCTATACCCCGCACGGCGTCTCCGGAACCCATGGATATGGATCACTACGACGAGAAAGGTCTTGAGTCCATGGACGAGGGCCGGACGATGCACAACAGTCCCGGTGTGGGAGCGAAGGACAAGGGCATTGGCGCTAGAGATGTAGAATCATCCCCAGCGGATAGACCTGTGCGCCCCAGACCCGTTGCACGCCATTCGTCATGGTCCTCTACGCTGCTCCACTTTGCGAAAAAGGTCAGCATCTGCTCGGGATCTTTTCGCGATATGCTCATCCCTCCTGGACAGAAACAACAACATGCCGCGGACTGGAAGCTCATCCAGAAACTGAAGCGGGGCGAGCGCATCAACGTGAAACTAAACCCAATATCTATCTTCCTATTTCGCGATGGTGCGCGTTTCGTCCTGACAGCATTACAAGGTAACTGATCTACGGATAGGGACCGTCATCTCTATATCGCAAGGTAAGAGTGCGTATGGCGTAGCATGAGCGGATTAATAACCTCGGATCGCAAGATCCTGAGGTCGACTTTACAGCACCCATCCGCGATCGTTTACGCCAGTCGGATACTAGTCTGCGGATGACTGCGGATCCGTCTCTTCTTGTTGAGAGTCTCATCGATCTCAGTGAGTCCGTTCGCTGTACCATAATCTCCGCGTGAGCTCATCCCACTAACACCGACTTCTCATAGTCGTCGATCAAGCGCTCGTTGTAGTTGAGGAATATCAGGGCAAGATACTCAAGATCGAGAAGGCTGTCTTATTGAAGCCTGACATGAAGACTGTCACGTCATGTGCGTCTTGCACCCATACGTATTGCCATCTTCCTTGCTCAACTACGTGCATTAGTACACATGCTCCAGGAAGACTTGATTTTGCATAAACGCACGCTTGAGCCAATCAAAACCCTTGTGAATGGCCTCAGGCGGTATGATGCCGACCGCGCTGCCGCTATCGCGCTGAAAGAGGACTTTGGACAAGATTCCGCAATTCGCCCTGCAGGTTTTATGAGCGACAAGGCGCGAATATACCTGGTAAGCACCACGTCTCAGCTCGTGAGAACCAATCTTGATGAGTTGCAACCTATGCAGGCGGACGTCTATGATCACTTGGAATATATACTGAACAGTCTGGACATGTTCGCCAGCGTGAGTGACAACCTGATCAACTACACCTGCAACGTAAGTTTCAGTCGCCTTCATCACACTGACGTCTTGGAGTTGACGCATACATTCCAGATGGTGTCTTATCAAATGAATGAGGTTATGTAAGTACAGTAGCCGTCGCGAATATGCTGCTGTGACCTGATCTACGACGTTCGTCAGGCGGCGGCTCACACTCATTACCATGATCTTCTTGCCCCTCAGCTTCCTGTCTGGGTATTTCGTGCGTGCTCTTGAGTCACCCAATTCTGGCCGCCTCATTGTGCATCACAGGGTATGAACTTCTCGATGTGGTCAACAGGGAAGCACACCGACGTCTTGTATGTGTTCACATGCTTTGCATCCTGTCGTTCTACTAATATTGCACCGTACACGCTAGTTACTGGGAAGTCTCGCTCCCTGTAATGGTCGTCCTTTTGCCCATGTTCATGATGCCGGATCTCAAGCGGATGTGGCACTATGCAGAGAAACGGGTCATCAAACTGCATGTGAATAAGGTCAGGAGAGGCCCATCAGCTCACTTTTGGGTCGCTGATAGGTTTGTCCAGGATGCGCAGTGACATGAATGATTCGCTGGTAAATGCTGAGACGTCTATACCCTTACCTGGAGGATATTTTGGATTATGGGCTTCATGTTACATTCTGTACTATATATCAACTCATGCCCCTCCTGTTCACAATGGACATATGTTCATGGTTCTCTAATGTACTCTGCTATCAATCTGTGAAACACTATGACTGTATCATCACTGAGCATCAGGGCTGTCTGTACCTTTCTATCCGATGTTGATCACCGCAGTGTCGAGCATTATTTCAACATCTCAAGCCACTTTCTTTGTGCTGTTAATTATATATGTTCTACATGCTATGAGACGCAATCTACCATGACAGAACGCACAACAAGCAGTTGAGGAACATAACACAATCATTGACAAAATGGAACTAGGCATTGCTAAATATATGCACCAAGACATTGAAGAGATGACCACAATCTATTTGCCAGCTCCTCCAATCTACCAAATGATAGAGTGAACAGAACAAAGCAAAAAGAAAGTGAGATCCCCCGACGACACAAGCCGGTACTGCAGTGGCAAGGTCATCGAATCTCCGGGTTGCAAGCAGAGCCCGAAGACAAGGGCGGCAAAAATTAGATAACCAATAATGGAGGCGGTGCCTCCATAATAGTGGTTAAACTATTAAGAACAGATACTACACTTGATCTAAGCCAAAAGGCCAGAGTGGTAAAGATTCACGGTGTCTGAGCGCAGCTTATATAGGGCGCGCGAGCGTGCGCACGGACCAGCGGTTGTTTGCGCAGCTGGAAGAGCGCTAAAAACACGTACCGCGTCTAACCCTGCCAGTGGAGTGTATGGAAGAGAACTCGACTGCTTATTGGGTTGCTCGCCAGGATGCACAAGGTTGTTTGGAAAATGACAACTCAGAGCTAACAATACATAAAACTCATAGCACGTAGTATCACACACACTTGTCAACACACAGTACAACGTTACATCCAGTACAGCATGTGAACAACACTGACGGTTCGACGTTATACACCCATCCTCAACGTTCAACCCTCGACAACGGACTGAACGGCAACTGCTAAGCCCGCGCCGTTAACGCAGTCTCTAAAGCTTTAGCGTTTGCCTCAACCCAGGACTCGAAGCCCTTCGCTCTTGCTTCTACTATCGTTCCGAGATGTTTCGCGCCTGACTCGATCAGTGCCTCGAGATGTGGGAATAAGCCGCGGCCCAGAGTCCCGGCGGGCAGCTGGTCTACGCCGTTGATGCCGACGGTGATCTTACCGTGGCGGGAGCCGATGACGCAGCAGTCGTCCCCCTCGTGCGCCGGGAGCGGGGCCGCATCTGGAGCTATGTCGGGGGAGATAACGACGAGCATCTCGCGGTCGGTGCCGCGCGTGATGCGTGCGCGCGCGGCGAGCGCGGGGAGGAGCTGGATCCCGCTGGATCCGCCCTGCCGGCGGAAGGCGATGGGCCCGGCGAAGGACGCGGGGAGGAAGACGGTGATGTTGCCCGAGCGCGTGGATACGTCGAGGTCTACCGAGCGAGTAGGCTGCACTTCGACCTGCGAAAAGTGTCAGGGTCGAGTGTAGCTCGAGCAACGGCGCGGTCACGTACGAGGTTCAAGTCGAGCCTGCCGTGCCGGCTGGAGACCATCACGCGCCCGTGCGCCTTCTTCTCCTTGTCCTTGCCTGTGCCGGCGGACTGTGCGCTCGAGTCTACGACGGCGAGCTCGAGCTTGATGTTGCCGTGCCGCGTCCTGAACGCGGCGTTTATCTCTGACTGGCGCTGCTTCCTATGCTTGCCTTCACAGCCTGGCCCCGAGTCTGAGTTGGGGACGGCGCCGAACGCACGGCGGGCATTGCGCGCGTGCTTGCGGTCGAGGCGGCGTCCGCATTCGGAGATCTTCTGGCGGTTCCCGTTAGAGCCTTTGACAGACACAGGTGGGAGGAGAGGGTCGACGAGGTAGGTACCTGGGAGGGCGGGATGTCAGGGGTGTCCGGGACGGACAGGGGATACTGGAACCCTCACCGGAGATGGCATCGTGTTTCGAGAAAATGGAGAGATCATTGACGAGCTGCTTGTTGGTGGGCTGGAAGACGGCGCTGGAGGTGCGTACAGGCTCGGGCGCGGGTGCTGCCGCAGAACGGTGTGGGTGAACGGGGGGCGGCGCTGGCCGAGCAGCCCTCACACCATCATAGGGCGGCGGCGCATCGTCAACCTAGAAGTGCATCGTTCAGAGCCTGGAGAATGCCGCCGAAAGACGACGCTTACTAAGGCCGCATTGCCCACTGTCGCAGTATCCTTCTTCTCGAGCTCGATAGGGTCGATGATAATCATAGTAAAGCACAATATTGGAAAGTGAGAGTGAAGAGTACTGCCCGTATGTAGGACGCCGATGACGAGGATCGTGAGGAGAGAGACGCGTCCGGCCGGCTATATGACAAATTGACTCGATAGGAGCGCAGCCCGCAGCAGACATGGGGCACAGCTAAGCCACACCTTGTGCAGGCGAAGCTGTCATTGTCGAGTTTCGCTCGCAGCATGTCTGATATGGCATCGCTTCGAGCACTCTCAAGGGCAGGGTCTGTGACAAGTGATTTGGGTTATGCGTTTGGCGTGGTGGGGCAGTGCAAACTGCGTACTGCGTGTTAGTGGACCGAAGGTGCAAGACAAGAACTACCACAGCGATGCAGGCAGAGGAATCCTAGCAGCAGAATTCAATCCTGGGTCATTTAAAGAGTCACTCAGGCCTTATTGACAGAGCCTTTCAGCGACGCGGACGGCGGAGGATCATGTCCATAATTGACAAGACCGTGCAATCAAACGCCAGTATTTCTTGAGATTACTTCAGTCTTCAGCCTGATACCAGCCCCAAGGAGTAGCCAAACAAAACTAGCAACAGCCAATCCAGCGAGCCAAATATTACGATTGCAAAAGAATAGGACAACTTCGCGGGAGGCCATAGGTGCGACCGGTCGACCGCCAGTGTACGCGCTCACGTGACGAGCGATTGAGGCGTTCGTGGTACGCGGTTCGACTTTATCTTCGGTTGGCTAACATTGAAGCCTACAGGTCCCTTCGAACCTCCTCGCGGTCATTAAGACGATTCATACAGGATAACAAGAGCAGCCAGTATAGCTTGGCTCGCGACAAACGCATTGCAGCGACTTCACTAGAACGACCACTACCTCAGTGTCAGACTTGTCTCAGCGCAAACTTATGTCCCGGTGACTCGGAAGAAGCTACAATCTACAGAAATAGCAGGCCATCATGACTACCCCGAAGAAACTGGTGCATTGGGCCCTTGACATGTCTTTCTCCGGTTTCGGGTCACCACTCTCAGACGCCTCGACGGAAGCCAACTCCTCTTCAAGTCTCCAATACATTAACTCTCAGCTTATTGCACATGGCTTCACGCACTCGCCTGGTCTCTCACTTGACGGCCTGTCAAAGGAGGACACGGACAAAGTGGTCAAATGTTTGCTGGGCATGCTGGGTCAGAGAGTCGTGAGTACTGTTCGACCATGTGGCATGCTGTTGTTTGATCGAGAGCAGGACGACATGTCCCGCACAGAGGATTTGACGACGAAGCTCAGGACGCTGTCGTATGACCATGAGCGCATGATGTCCATGTACCAGGCAGCCACGGAAAGGGCCGCCAATGCCGAGCGAGAGATGAATGTCCACAAGTCGCGGCTTGCGTGCGTCTGCCTCACTTCTATTGTCATGCATGGCTTCACTCTTCTGCAGGGCGACGACGCGGTCGTTACAGTCGGCAGAAGCCGCCCACAAGCACACTACCGGCGAGCTGCAGCGTACCCGCACCACCCTCCAGGCCCTCCGCACCGCACATCAAGCTGAACTCAAGAAGCTCGAGAAAGAGAAGGACCGCATGGTGGACAGGTGGTCCAAGCTCGCGGACGTGCAGTCTAAGCTGTGCAATGCGAGCAGCGGCATGCGCTGCGCGAACGCTGCGGTTATTGATGCCCCTGACGTGCAGCTGCGCGGGAAGGGCCAGGGCTTCCTCGATCTCGCGCTTGAGCAGGCCGAGCAGGCGCGCAAGGAGCTCTATGACCAGAACCGCAAGCTGCGTGGACTCATTCTCTCGGCGGCGAACGAGATGCAGGGCGTGCTGCACGCGACACGCACTGCGGTCTCACCAGCGGAATTCCATGACGATGTGCGTTTTACATAGTAGAACATTAGCGAGCGTTGCAGCTGACTCGTTGTGTCAGCCCGTGCCTCTCACGTTCACGTCGCTCTTTACGATGCCTCCCACAGAGTCTGCGGGTGATAAGCTGTCTTCCCTTCTAAGCTCCCTCCGGGAATCGGTCGCACAGCTGTCAAGAGCGAGCGAAGGGCCCAGAACGGAAGCCACTGCATCCCGCGGTGGTGGCCCTGCTGAAGATCGCAAGCCGCATGACACCGCAGAAGTCGAACGTCTAGAGACTATCATCAATGCCCTGCGCAAAGAACTCGGTACGTCAGGTGTCTTCTCGGTTGATACCAAAAATAGACGCTTTGTTGCAGATGAAGCTCAGAAGCAAGCGTCCACCTATGCAGCGCAGACGCAAGAGCTGTTTGATCGATTTGCGGCTGATGAGAGGCTCATGCAGGGCGAGGTGGGCGAGATGAGCGTTGATCTGATGACAGCGCCACAACGAGATGAAGAACGAGCTCGACTCGATGCGAGGTTCAAGGAACTCGATGAAGAACGGAAGAAATTCACAGAGGCTGCGGTCAGACTCGGCAGAGAGAAGGCAGGACTAGAGGTAATCTTTTTTGTTCTCATTGTGTATATGCCTGCAAGCTCACTCATTCTCATCGTATAGGCGGAGCGCATTAAATTCCTGGAGGAGAAGCGGACATGGCAAGTCGAGCAGATACTAGCTGAGTTGCCCCCCACCCCAGCACCAACCTCGTCCTTGGTGGATCCTGTGCCACAAGAAGCCCCCGCGGCAGCTCCCTCACCACGCAAATCGGTTCGCAAATCGCCACGAAAACCAAGGGCTTCAGGCGGCTTAAAGAAAGTTAGGGTCTCAAGGCGATCGTCTGGCCTGGGAGTGGGACTCGGCCCCGTCTCCCCCAAGAAGATCACGCCCCCGTTCGAGACGGAAGTCATACCTACCTCTCCCTCGAAACAGGCTCCCGCATTCAAGACGAGTATTGCCCTACCGCAACCGCAGCCCCCACTGCGCGCGCCAGTTTTCGTGCTCCCACCTCCGTCGCCAGCGTCTTCGCTCGACCAAGGTGCTCGTCTCTCCTCATCGTTGATACCCCCACTCCCAGCAGCATTCGATATACCCCCAGCACGATCTGCCCCTTCCATGACGACATCTAAATCTGAAGAGTTGTTCGGTGCTCTTGAGCCTGAGCCGTCGACGACCATAGCGACCTCGAGCAGCGCCCCGACATTAGGCTCAAGCGCATCAGCGCCTGCCCCAGTACCCAGCACACCAGTTGTCCGCAGGCCGTTCCCAATGGCAAAGCCTCTCGCTGCTGGTCACATGAGACACGCGTACTCGCCCGTGAAACCCAGTCCTCTCAGTAGAATTCTCATGCTGGCGAATTCACCGGACAGCCCGAACATCGATCGCCCGCTTCTCGACGCGCTCACAGAGGATGCCGAGGAGGATTCGGACGGCTCGCCGACCCCTGCTCCTACTGTGTCTACTCCGATTCCTGCAATGCCTCCACAGAGGAGTCTTGCTGCAGAGTTAGGTATAACGGAGGACGACGAGAATCCGCTACGGGATAGGGAAGCACAAGCAAATGTGAAGTCCAAGGCAACAGGACCGGTGACAAAACTGACAGCAAAGGGGAAGGGGAAGGCCAAGGCAGAGCCCATGCCAGTGTCTCGCACTCGACCTGCCGTCGCGCTTGAGAAGGAGAACGTGAATCGAGCGAAGCTGTCATCTGGAGCTGCAAGCACCACAGGTACGGCGCAAGCTGCTCCTGAGAAGAAATCAGTAAAGGCGCCACCAAAGCCATTCTCTCGTTCCAAGGTAGCGGGAAGGCCTCCACCTGCACGAATCGGTCCCAGACGCGTTCCCATCGACAGCGCGGAAGCGGCACACGTGGGTCCTGGGTGGAAAGGCTGAGCCTCGCGGTCTCTTCCTGGGACTTGGTTTATGTTCATTCTTATACCACACTCGGTATCATGCGCTATGTATGTTACAGATGTTCCCATGTACATGCCATAAACTGTTGTTAGTACATCCGTGTATCGCGGGATATCTACACGCCTTTCTGCATCGTCAACACGGCTTCCAGGCCTTGGCAGTTTGCGCGAATAACCCGTGTAGGGTATCTATGTCGACCAGTACATTCATGCGGGTACCATGAAGGACGCGAAGTAGTTGTCGATGTCTAGAAGATGATCAAACGGTGCGACCATGCCGATGTATCCATCGGGTCGAACGATGACGATGGCGCCATGAGGATCGATGCCGTAGGCTTCATACCCTCCTCCTGCACTGGTGCGCTTGTACATATCCTGGTCGTCTAAGAGGAATCTGGACAAAGCATATCAGGATCGGGTTTGCCTCGTATCCATGAAGATGAACGTACTTCGACCAATGTGATCTGAAGAGTGGCGGCGCGTCCGTGTAGTTGGAGTATTTCTTCTTCGCGGAGCTCACGGAAATAACATCGAAGGCGGAACCGTTGCTCTTGCCGAATCGTTTCAAGAATCCCTCGGGCTTGTCCATCTCTTCCGCCAGCGCTCTCACCTTCTTGAGTTGCACCTGGTCGGTGGTATCACCGGTAAAGACGACGACCTTGAAGCGGGCATCGGCTGGGAGAAGATCTTGCATTTCCATCGGCTGACAGTCAGCGGCGCGGACGAAGACGTGGGGAAGCATTCTCTGCCCAATAAGCAAGTTGCTCGCAACAGACTGGTGCTTGGGGTTGACGATGGTAGAAGGCTGATAGTGTACGCCGATGCCGCTCGTGAAGAGGCCAAACGTCTGGAATGCCCTGTCGCCGAGTATCATGGGCGGCTCGCTCTCAGACAGAAGACGAAAACATATGCGTACTCCATGAACTCCTCGTGAGTCACACCATCCTCGCTTCCCTCTGTCCGTGGCTTCCCAGAGAATAAGGCTGCAAATCTCTTGTCGAAGCTGATCAGGTCTTGGGCGTACTTCCGGCGCTCAAATTCATACTTGACGGCCGTCAGGACTGAGGATAGAAACCGATCCGAATGATGCTCACCGTCTTCAAGAGCGAGATATCAGCCCAGCCACGAAGGACGTGCGCGAGTTTCCAAGCTGCAAAATTACATTCAGAGGCAGTAAAGCAACAGACGACAAGTTGGCGCACCCAAGTTATGGGTATCGTTCATGCTTGCATTCATACCCTGACCTACGACAACGTTCATCAGACACAACGGTCAAATATAACGAATGACCGAGATACGTACCCGCTTTTGGCGAGTGAGTATGGCAAGCATCACCCGCGATTAGAACGCGCTCGTGCACGGAATACTTGTTAGCTACTCTCTGGCCGACTATCGCACACGTCAACTTTTGTATTACGACGAAAGGAGAGACCGTACTTATGTATAGGGTCCACCAGTCTATTGGATGTGAAGTTGACATGACGTAAGGGTAAAGGGACTTGTTTGCGACCTCCATGATTTTCTCGGGTCCCACTTTGCTCTTGTCTACTCTTCCTTTCGAATCGAGTACATCCTGGTCCGCAAGCTGAATGTATAGGCGAACTTTATCACCTTCGCGGGGAATTATCATGCAAGACCCATTGTGCGAATGGACGGCGCAGCGGTTACGGATGTCCGGGAAATCCGTGTCTGGGATGAGATCCAGGACGCCCCAAATGTAGTCTGATTTTCCAATGTCGGCGATATCAGACGAGGCTTTCGGCCCGAGGTCTGACGGGACAAACAAACCGTACCTGTTTGTTCTCCCTCCATAGTTATACCAAACTCCTTTCGAATCCAGGAATGCGCGCCTGAGGAAACTAGATTATCTCGTGGCCCTGAGCTAGTAATCATGCATACCATCACATCCCACAACGAACTTGGCATAGACGATCTCCGTATCGGATTTGCCTTCGGGAACTTCTAGGTGCTTGAGAACGACCTGTTACATGCGTAGTTGTCAGCTGCAGTCGATGCACTGTCACAGATGCGTGAGACACCTTGGCGGGGTGGGATGAGGGGTCCCTGAGCTCTGTTTCATTCTGCGAGAGCTCAATGAATGTCGGCATGATGGGTCTTTCGACATGCACGCCTTTAGAAGCCATCGAGTCTAGAAAGATCTGTTCTATGCCACCCTGATGCAGCGCCATCTACACGAGAAGACATTGCGCAGTCAACCAAAATGCGGAATGAGCGCACGCCAGAGCATACCTCGAAGGGCCATCGAGCAGTGGGAGCGGTCACGTCGGCTGCACGATCAGTACGCTAGGTCACGAATAAGTATAGCTGCATACACGCAGACACTGACCGCTCGTTTCGGAACTCACTTCAATACCTCCATGAGGGCTCGGATTGTAGAATGCCTTCAAGAAAGACATGTGACTATGCTGTAAACACTAGGCGCCCTTCCCGAAGGACTTACCGCCATATGCACTTGGACCGCCTCTTTAAACAGCCGATCGGCTAGCCCGTAGCTCTGCAAAACGACGCTTGTCCCTAAATCCTGCAGTCACCTTAGGAGGGACTCACCTGGAACACTTCGACAATACGAGGTTGAATCCCATCTGCTTGCCCTGCCGTCACTTTAGCTGGCCTGCGATGTTCTGTGTGTCACGAACATCATATGCATAATTTCATCGCAGCCAACTCACCGTTGATCAATGATGCGTACGTTGACACCCGCATGGGACAGCGCCATGGCGCACATAAGCCCTGCAGGGCCAGCGCCGATAATGAGAACATCCACATCGCTTTCCTTCGTGAGCGAGATGGGCATGTCGGGTCTGCGTGGATAAGATGTTTTGATCTACAGTCCGCTGACGCCATTTTATACACGTTGGGCGCTGTCACTATGCAGGTACCGTCCTGAAAAGGATGAGAATAATTGGCGCAAAACGTGTGAAGGCACGATATTGTAAGGGAAATGCGGACCTTGTTGTACATGTAAAGGGGAGGACCTTCGCACGACAGAAGCACTAGCGAGTGTTTACTTAGGGAAAACTTGCCTGGAGGCAGGAAAATGGCAGATGACACTGCCCGCTGATGGGTCTCGCTCTGCCTGTGCCGGGTCGCCTAGACGTTCAGCGGAGCTAGGGTTACTTATTAAAGGCAGAACTTCACCGCCGAAGCACTAATTGTACAGTTGTGTATCTGAATTTGGTGACACAAGAGCATGCATGCTGCGGTGGAGGGACAAATCCTCCATACCCGGCGGTCCCGCTTGCATGCCGGTGTGGTCTGTTATCAGATTAGGTATGCTCACGTTCCAGTAGAGTTGACACTCACCATCAACGAAGCCGCTATACCTTCCCAGGGTTGCAGATGACCAAACTTCTTAACCTACCCGTCTCGATTTGGGAGATACTTCACGCAGCAATACAAACCCTCCGTTGATCGAGGCGGTAATTACAGACATGCAGAGTAGCTTGTCTAACCTATTGTCGGTGATGGAGCTAAGCGTACCGCTGGAGTGGACGCATAAACCCATCTCTTGATCGATGTAGATCGAAGCATCAGCTAGTCTTCATGAATGCTCGCATGTTTTATCGCCAGGCGTGGAAGCCCAGTTCGTATTCTCACAGACTTGTAAATGAGTTCGCGTACGCGGCAACCATTGCTCCAACGTGGAATCTTCGGCAGCGTCCAACGATACCCAGACCTGGTACGACGTCCGGGCTTGACGGTTAGTGATTAAACGACGGCTTACGGTGCGTGCACGTGCTGTATAGGAAAATGTGTCATCCACCCAGTCGTTTGGAAAACAGTGTCAGTGTACGAATGTTTCCATGGAGAATTGTTTGTTCTCGATTCGTCAGGGCTCCCATCGACTTCGCGCGCGCACGCGGACTCCCCATATATGAATGACTATATAACCGAATTCATAAACGACTCTATGGTGCGACGCGATGCGCCCGCTTTCGACCACGCTTCTTCGGTCTTCTGCTTGAGCTTCAACACGTTATTGCGCTTATGCATGCCGTCTTCGCCGAACGCCTTCTTGAGGATGTCCTTAGCCTCAAGGCAGAAGGCCTCGACAGTACCAGTCGGAGCCTTGCCTGTTGAGTGCCGGTCCATTCCGAGCTTCGAACAGCTCGTATGCAACATTCAGTCCATGGGACATGTGAGCTGCGTTGGTTGGTTGATCGAAAGCGAATGGCCAACAGATCCTAATCGGGCAATGGCAGGGGACGGAGAGGTGTACTCAGCCAGCGTATGGGAACAAAGTAGAGAGGAGTTACTGACATCGGCACACCCGCGCTGACAGCTTCTATGACGCTGTTATGGCCCCCGTGGGTTACGAACCAGCCCGTCGCCTGTTGGGCAAAACAATACTCGTAAGAATGAGACCTACTAAAGCAGGTTGACACAGCTCACAGAGTGGCTGAGAACTAATTGTTGGGGCGACCAAGTGGTCAGTAGGCCGTGTCCGTAGTTATTGATTTTCTGCACAACACTGTTTGGGACCGCTGCGTACCGCACCGCGTGGCTCATGATCTGCATCGTAGTCTGTTGGTGAGGCGATGCACGATGAGGCACATAGACTCACGAAGGGTATTCGCATTTCCACGAGAACATCAAGAAACGCCCAAACCTTCTCCGGTTCTGATGGCCAGTAGACCGTTCCCAGGGAGAACTAAGCACCATCGTGAGTCTCCATATTCTTCGAAAGGTCGTACGATGCCACAAACATAGAGCACGGAACGTTCTCCGTGCGAGCTGAGTGTACTCTCCAAGAAATCTTCAATCTCCACAGTATCTCGACATTGTTCTCCCTCGAGAGCTCGAGCTTGAGCACCGCAAGGAATCATAGGTCCGCAGAGATGCACACTACGAGACGTTTGGGCGAAGTGTTTCTTGAGTGCTGCGGTTGTTTCGGGTTCGTAGCAATCGGATGTGGCGAGGATCACCCCATCGCATGCGGCAAACATACTGTGTACGACAGACCTTCCAGGTCTGATACGATCAATAGCATATTTGGACGTACTCGTATGCAGACAGGAACATCCCGCCGAGCATGGCGTACCCACCAAGTAGCTGCGAGACCCATTCAGTACAATCGGGCGTGTTGACGTTGATATTGAGCTTACTGTTTGTGGCTGGAACTCATGGTCATACATCGCCGGCAGCCCCGGTATCTTGAGCAGTGACTTTTCGCATTTGAACAAGATCTGTGACAACAAGTATAAAATTAGAAAAAACCACAGTCTCTGTGCAAACAGATATAAGCACGCACTTCGGCGGTAGCAGCTTCTACTGTGATCCCAGACCGCGCCGCCTCTTGCTCTGCCTTCGCGCGAAGATTACCTGCACCTCCTTTGTCCGCGGGGCCGTAAAAGCGGAATATCACTGACGCCGCGCCGGCAAACCATACAAAGACTTTCACCGGCTTCTGGCTCAGTCTCCGTACGGCTTCGAGAAGGGGTCGTCCGTAGAACTGCCATGCACGTGTTGTTCATATGCAATGCTTCGAATGGCCATGACATCAACTCACATCGATGATGACGGCATCTGGGCTAGATACCGCCTCGACGCAATGTCCTGTGTGCGCACACTTCACCGGTTCGCCATTGACAAGCTGCTCGTAAGCCTCCGCAAAAGATTCATCAAGCACTTTATTGTCGAGCGCATGACGTCCGGTGTTATGGAGGGCGATTACTCTATATTGAAATATAAGTAACATGTAGATGACTGGTCTCGGAGCGACACACCTAATGTCGTCCAAAAGAGGACCATCGGCGCTTTGCACGCTTCGTCGTAGCTCTCTTTTCACTCGATCATAAAACACATGTGTCGTAAATAGAGTGATGATCGCTGGGCGTGTCTTGGCGAGTCGGACCGCCAAATTGCAGAGCGGGCGAGTGTGTCCTACCCAACGCTATCTTCTTACAACATACACAGATGGTGGCAGAAGTCACTCACCCCAGGCCTCGTAGGCAAAGAGAACAACGTGGGCGCGTTTCACCGATGTAATAAGCGAGATTGGCATCGTCCAAGAAGTGGAGACAAAGGGAAAAGGGGGGTTTAAGGGAAGCTTGGGAGCACCGCGTCCATTACATATCCTTCCGGAAGATATACCACAGCTTGGCGAGGCCGACGTACGGTCTCGTCCAAGCCACGATCGGTATCTTCAGTAGGACGGGCCTATTATGCTAAAATCAGCTCCTGATTCTGTTATGCATTCCCGCGAACAGACCGGCCGGGACTTCATCTCAACCAGGGCGCATGGTCACGGAAGTGCCCTGAGACTTGATGGTTCCTCAATGGCATGAACAGGTCGTATGACGAGATGAGGTCCAGCAAGAAAGCTGCAAGATGAGACCACTTCAACCACCGTATGGCAGGTTGTACTGCGGAGGGGACATGCTTTAGTACACTCGTCAGGGAAAAATGGTAGCCGGGTCCTTGGACAAAGCTTGAAAATCAGGTCTCGTTCGATGACACGGATGGATTGACCGCGTGTGGCCCAGAATCGCGAACATCGTCCGCATGTTGACTCTCGAAGCGGGAAGCACATGCCGCCAGACCATCGAGGAACTTGATGACAGCTCCGGGCGAATCTATGCACTATCAGAGCACGCCATTGCATATGATTGCTTGACTGTTGCTGATTGCATAACGGGGCCGCGGTAGTAGACAACATAAACACCGCATCCTCGTTCAACACAGAGTGCTCTCATGTTGCGAAGAGAGAGCCAGCGCAACAAATCGCTCGCTCGCTTCAGCCCGTGAGTCCCAACCTCGGCAGATACCTATCAGCGTGTGTCAGTATCTGTGTGTAAAACAAATCACGCATGACTTGCCCGTCGTTCGAGATCGCTGGCACCATACACCGCACATCCACGTGGATGGAAACGCATCATATTCGGGACGTCGGTGGACTCACCCTTTGCGCGCATAACCTTTTTGTGCTCAAACTACATCGAGGCCGATGGATGGCTGACCCGCTCAACTCGTCTCACCGCGGACGTCCATATTGATCGTACGAGTGACGTCAACAGCGATGAATGCTTGGCTGCAGTGCAGCTGTGAATCGCGGTTCACGAAATACTGTGATAGTCGGCTGAGAGACCGGGAGAATGTGTCATGTAATCGTTTTACGCGATGAGGGAAGAGAGAGAGAGAATGTATAGAAAGTAAGAGGAAGTAAGTGACGATTTCAAACTCAACCTTGCAGACATACTTGAGCTTAAACGACACGATCATTGATGGGACCCTGATCGACACACTAAAACGTTCACTGCAGGTGGCTGATTACGCCCTACAGAAATCCTCCGTTGGTGAGCACGATCTCAGCCTAGGTATTTACCGCAATCCAACTCGTAGGTCTGCTTGCGTACTAATGGAAAGCCCTCTAATTTGTACACACGCATGTTATTGAGGACAGGCACATGTTTTACATGGCACAGACATTACAGCAACATCCCAGAGCTACGAAAGGTGGTGACGGCAAATGTCCAATAGGTACCGATCAAAGTTCATTCGAAACCCAACGGGGGTAGAGAAGAAAATTACTCGTCTTTTGCCTTCTCCGTATTCGAGCCATCGGTCGTCTGCTTGCTCGGCGTGTGTACGGGCACACTCTTCGTAGGATGTGAAGCGACTGCCGGTGCAGAACCATAGGCTGGGTTGTCACGCGCTTCCAACCGCGCGGCCCACATAGCTGCGCCAACGGTGTTGGTAAAGCTGAACAGCAGGCCAACGAACGGGATGAAATTACACAGGAGGGTCACCGTTCCAAAGCTGATGTTTGACCAGAGTAAGTATTCAGTGTTTGACTCGGTATGATGCATCGCATGACTTACGCAGCATACTCCGCACGATGTTTGTTCACGAACGCTGCGCGCTGGCTCTTAGACATGCCCTTCAGCTGGAAGTACCTTGCATGCCAATTGGGACCTCCAACATAGCCGTTGTATAGCACAAAAAGAACGGTGCCGACCACAGGAACGAAGTTCAGCGGAAGGGTTAAGACGTATCGAACGAGCCCGTCCTTCGACAGCGCTTGGAATGGCTTGATCAATGCGCCCTCGACAACGCTCCTGCTTGCGCCTGGCCCGCGTGTCTTCCCCTGCTTCACAAGCTCGATTTGCCCTCGCGCGCATAGAGTTGCGTCAAAAACATGTGTGAGTGCAGGATCAAGGAAGAGGGGCCGAGCAAGGTAGGTGACAACAACGGCGGACTCTGCGCCGACTAGAATGAACGCTAGGATGGGCGCCAGAGGGCCAGAGAGTATGGCAAGGACGGCCATTTGGGGAACCCATGTGAAAAAGAGGAGCACGCCGAAGATGACGACGGAGGATATCAGCGCCTTCAGGAGCGCCGCGCGCACCGAAAGGGTGACGGCGGGGTCTACGAGCTATCAGACTGGATGTACCGCGTATTTGGGTAGATTTCGTATGTGACTTACGCGTTAGAGAAAAGTATATGCCCTGGAGCGGCCAAAGCCATGCTAATGACAGGAGACCTTGCGCGACCAGCATTAGGGCATTTTGTCCTGCGTTGAGAAGGCTCTCCAGTTGCGCATGGTCGGACGTCGACATTGAAAGAGTGGGATCAAAGTTGAGCGAATGCACATGGGGGCGAACGCCTATTCTTATACTTGCGTACGTGGAGCTTTCCATGAAACCTTGCATGAGATCATCCACAACACGATCACGTGGCCGTGTCGCGCCCAAGTGCATTGCGCGCTTTCTCTGTCCAATCTCTCTCACTTGAATCCCGCGTCCCGGTTTAGACCACTTCATCTCAGGACCGCGGATAATTTACACAAATAACGTCCAATACCAGCGACCAAGGATACATCCTGGGAAGCACGGAAGTCTTACTGGTCAGAGCTGCAGATGTTTGCCCCCGAGCCTCGCGACTGATGACATTCACGAAAGTGGGTCAAAAGGCGACCGGCCAAGCATACAGCAGCGGAATCCACTCTGCGGACACGAGCTCTATGGAAGAAAGTTTAGTACAAAGGATGTGGCGGCCAACTTGTCGCATGCCTTCTTGTTTTGATTATACTGCGTCCGATGCCGATGTGGCACTCTGTGCCTTTGATTGTCTCCGCAGCGCTTCAGACGTGGAGATTAATAATATATATAGGTGCGCTACCCGCTGAGGTTCTCCGCAATTGCCTCTGCAACGATGGAAGCCCCAGCCGACGAGGAGGCGACTCAGCGGTCTGAAACTGCGTCCTATTACGATAGGTGAGCGAACCAAGGAAGTCGGGTTCTTGCTCTGATATCACATTACACAGTCAGGATACAAGCATCGCTTTCAACTCCGGGCAGTGGCTGCCTAATTTCACGCTGAGAGCTGTTCGGTAAGCACGTCGTTGTACGTCAGGCCTTTCATACCTCACATACTACTTCCAGTCGCAGGCCGGCTCGCCAAGCAATCTTCGAGGGACAGTTCACTGGGAACTGGCCGCAAGGACTCATCGAATACACTCTGGATTTTCTGGGGACAGAATATCACTGTCTGAAGCATTGCTCCTTGGCCGCCCGCTGCTTTCTTCGTGCCACACGGGTCCACCTTTTCAACGTTATTTACATCAAGTCTGACGATGATTGCACTGCATTCATGGAGTTCCTCGACCGCTACACACCTGCCACTGGCATCGACATCAGGCAGTATGTCCGGACGCTGGTCTTACAGGGGTCTCTGTTCCGCTTCGTCAACATGCTTCAATGCGCGCAGTCCTTCCGCACACTGGAGTATGTCAACGAGCTTCGGCTTCGCTATTGGGACTCGAGGCCACTGCCGGAAAATTTCTGCAAAGCCTTCGCAATTGCATTTCCCCAGGTCACAAGCTTGCAGATGCTCAATGTTGAGTTTATGTACTCAAGAGACTGCTATGCGCTGGTGTGCGCCTTTCCCCTGTTGACGGCCGTTCACTTGACGGGAAACCAAGGTCTACGCAGAAGATTGTCCTATAGAGGACGTCGAGTACGCTGACATCGCGGATCTTTTGGTCGACGACAGTATGTCCCAGAGTGGAAAGCCTACAGAACGGCGCATCAAGAGTCTCTCTGTGTCAGCAGAGCATCGCACAGAGGAAACCGACACAGCGCCACTGGGGCAAGTATTTTTTCGCGACCCATTCAAGCTAGACCTCGAGCGCCTGCACGTCTGGCTACCATACAGCCATAATCTTGTCCCTATTCTGGATGCGGTCATAACTCCTCGAGTCACTTAGCATTCAATTTGGCAAGTGGAATGATCGTAAGCATGACATTGCCTTGGCGTCTATTCTACTTGAACATCAACTGACAGTGGCTTGCACAAGTTGACTTGCGGGAATGCCTCAGGAAGATACGTGTCGATGGACTGAAGCATCTCACCATGGGCTCATTCAAGCCGTCACAAAGAGACGACGACACCCTTCTGGCCTTCGAAATCCTCGCGAGGCTTGACACCGAGGCGAGCGACATGCAGACCATTACCCTGAGGGTCATGCTGGAGGACAACTTCCACAAGCTCAGTGGCTACCCATGGGCATCCCTCCATGAATATCTCCTCCTAAACATGCGGCAGCACCCTCGGCTACAAGTGGTGATCGAAGTCTGCATCCAGGACGCGAGGGCCAGGGTATGCCGCCGGCGCTGGCCTATTCTAGACGTCCTCAGACAGCGGTTGAAGCCACTGATCGACGCGTGCAAGCCGCTCGAAATACAGAATCTGACAGATGCCGCTCACCCAGAGATAGGAAAATTCATATTCAAGGCGAGCGATGTTACGTATCAACCGGACGCGCTAGTACTGCAACCAGGACTCAATTTTCTGGTACAAAAAATCAGATTAGATTAGATCGAACTAGAATTTAGAAGCACAGGACGCAATCAACGATTCTGACCTTAGTTCGAGCTGCGCAAGCGGTGGACCTCCGAAATTTCAGGGCATTGTGTGGGTGCACACCACGACACACCGCGGCGATGTTGAGGCTGAATCCGGTGGGCGAGGGTGCTCAAAAGAACTAGACATGGACGTTGGGATGACATAGGGTAGACGCGATCGGATTACAGTCATCTACAGCTTGGCACGTGCACATCGTTACCGCACCTCGCCCCCATCCCAGTCGCGAAGTCTTCATCGACACCAATCATCAATTACGTAAATCAAACAATAGCAAAGCGTATATACGATGGGAGGCCCGTATAGGATTACAGGCCAAAATCACTATAAAGCCCGGATAGATGGAACAATTGTTCTTCCGAGTCGCCACAACTATAAGTGGTCTGTGGCGTTGTTGCTTGACGACGCTTTACTCCGACTCTGCCCCCTGAAACGTTAGGCCAGTCAGCTCTTCAGCTCTTCACTTCACGTCTCTTGCCGTCAACTTGCTTATTCTACCGCTCCCGATACAATGTTGACTAGGACAGACAGTGTGCTCGAGATACTCCCGAGGTCAGTAATCGTCACTGTTTGGGCTATACGAGAAGCTTGCCTCACTGATGTCTCGCCACGTCTTCCCCATGGTCAGAGTACCCAGGGTCACATTCGAGGGATCGTTTTCGCAGGGGGACAGGCTCCCTCTCGACCTCATCCCTTACATCATGGTTCATTTGCAGGACGACTGTTTCCAGCTCAAGATGTGCTCCCTGGTCGCTCGCGGGTGGGTACGCGCCACACGGCGCCACTTATTCCGTAAACTCGTCCTCCGCTCGCCCGAGGAGTGCCGCGAGCTCAAGGAGCTCCTCGATGCTTCTCCCGTGCTGTCCTACGCCGAATTTGCGCCATATTTCCGAGAGATGGTCTTCCAGGGTTCCCCGCTCTATGGGCTCGATGGCGAGTGGCTTAACGAATATGCACAGTCGTTCTCGAAGCTGTGCAATGTGACCTCCCTGACGCTGCGTTACTGGCCTGAGATGCTGCTTCCGGATAACTTCGCTCAGGCGTTCGCAGATGCGTTCCCTCTCGTCGAGAAATTGGAAGTCATCAAGAGCCAATTTTCGCACCCGCGGGATTGCTTGGGGCTGCTTTGTGCATTTCCCAGACTGTCGGATATCTATATGGACGTCGAGAACTCGCAAGACTGGTCGCGCATTTTCCCGCTTCGCGGCGACTGGGGGCCTTTCGCGCCGTCCCTACGGCGAAGCGGGATCAGCGACTGGGAAAGCCATACTCGAGAGATCAAGAGTGTCACTTTGCTAGGCGGCATCAACTCCACGCACATGGAGTTCCTACTAGGAGAAGGCCCCTTCAGCCTGTGCTTGCAGCATCTGGATCTCACATTCCCGCCCGGAAGGATGCCTCCCTTTCTGCCCTATATGGTCGAGGCGCCTCTCGAGGGGTCACTACGTCTCCGGTTCACACCTACGAGTGATTTTGACTTTGAGGCCAAGCATGGTGAGTCTTCTAGAATTGCTTTAACGTTTAACGCTGATGCTATTCGAGCCAGCTTCTACCGTGGAGGGACTTGCGAAGTTACAGCTTGGACGTCTCAAGTCGCTTACGCTGGGGCCCTTTGTGGGGAACAGCGCAGATGCGTCGAATGCCTTCGCTATTCCCCTCCTTGAGAGACTCGCTGCTGACGCTCAGGAGATACGAAGTATCACATTCGAAGTGACCTTGGTCACTGGCGTGGGATCGTTCTCCTACTGTCGCTGGCGCGAGATTGAAGACCACTTGCTTTGTCTTGTGCGCGCTCACTCTCATCTGCAGGTGACGTTTCGCCTCTACAAGGAGCGAGACAAGTACCTCAGGATGGACGAAAACAAGTGGCCTATCAAAGATCAAGTTCAGCGAAGCTTGCCTCGACTTAGTCGCGCGAGCGGGACCTTGACGACTAATCACCGGTGGACGGTGCAGAACTCGTGGGATATGGGGGAAGTTACTTTTTCTAATTTCAGGCCTTGACCAGCGCAGCTTCAAGTTGGCGACAAGTTGCGATTGAACTGCACGAATACGTCGCCAAGTTTTATTGGTCGTTGTTTCGGATAGCAAATATGTCATGTTTCTTTATTTCTGGTGTGATCCAGTGTGCGCCCAGAATGAATGAATCAGCACAAGAATTATGAACTCGTACTGCGAATTGGCGCTCAGGTCGACCAGGGGAGGACAGGATCACGTGCAAGGTCATCTTGCTCGGCATCTGCCGCAAAACTAGGCAGTCATTCCCAAGCCACCCATTCCGCGCTCACAGAACGGGAGACTATAGCAGCGGCCTCGAAGGCAGCGACAAGACCCAACGACCCGACGAAATGGTCAGTATGCGTCGCCGCTATTCTCATGCTCGTCACCTAATGATGCTGCTACCCTGTAGGCCGACCAGAAGACCGCCCCCACCAACCCCATGAAGGAGCTTCGCATCGACAAGCTCGTCATCAGTGCGTCTGCCCTTGCGATCCGTTACGCTTGCTGACCACGTACGCATGTACCCCGCGAAGACATCTCTGTCGGTGAATCCGGTGATCGCTTGACCCGTGCATCCAAGGTGTTGGAGCAGCTCACTGGCCAGACACCCGTCACCTCCAAGGCACGCTACACCGTGCGCACGTTCGGCATCCGTCGTAACGAAAAGATTGCGGTGCACGTCACCATCCGGGGGCCCAAGGCGGAGGAGATTCTCGAGCGTGGCCTGAAGGTCAAGGAGTACGAGCTCCGCCGCAGGAACTTCTCCGAGACCGGCAATTTCGGGTTCGGCATCCAGGAGCACATCGACCTGGGTGCGCGGTACGACCCTGGTATCGGTATCTTCGGTATGGACTTCTACGTTGTGATGGGTCGGCCAGGCGCGCGGGTAGCGCGACGGAAGCAGAAGAAGGCGAGAATTGGCTTCCAGCACCGTGTCAAGAAGGAGGACACGATGGCGTGGTTCAAGCAGCGATTCGACGGTATTATCCTTGTGCGTCCTGCTTCATCTTATATCATGTCCAGGTTTGCTCACCCAGTTTATTACAGGCGAAGTAATGGTTTTCTCCCCTTATCTGTATGTCGCTACCACTATGACCTATTGCCGACATGTATCGCATGCGTCCAAAATATTCCTTTGTGAGGTTACGGGTACTTCCCAGCTACCCGTTTGGATTGTATAAACAATGCTGGAGCGTCTGGGGAGTGTCGAGTCTCTGCACACCTGTTTCACCGGCCAAATTCTAGAGGTGAGTGTACACTTAAACGGTGCCTAGCTTTCTGTATAATTCCTATGCAATGATGCAAACAACTCGCGTTGGGAGTCAATTACCGTGGGTCTCAGATTGGGTAACTGTCATTTATCTGAATAACAATGCTGTCAGGGAACGACTTGATTCGGAAAGTGCTGGATGTCTCGACGATCATACCGCTCTTCGCCACAAGCTGCGCTAATCTCGAGATGTTTTTGAAGACCTGCTGTAATGGTATATGTACAGCCAATGAGGTGCAGAGCGCGTATGATCTTAATTTGTGCTTCCAACACTGGACGATTCCTTGCTAGTCCTGGGATATGCTTGTCTACGGGGAACCAGGAGGCTGTGCAGTACAGGGAGAGCGCTGTGAAGCGTGCCGTCCGGTCGCTTGCATTCTTGTCGCAAGCGGAGGCGGATCTGGTACCAAAGATCGTGTACCTCTGGTGGTAGCATTATATGTTCATATGCCAAGTGCAAACGTCAGTGGTGCGTGCATAACTATTGTCCGATTGGCTGCGCTGGTCGTGTATGCACTATTTATTGTAGTTGCTATTCGTAAGTTCTTGCTGCTCTATAACATCCAAATGCCATATGAAATACAGCTAAATCTACAGTATATAGTTCTTGAGGTTTTGTAGCCGTTCGGCAGCCCTCTTCACGGTATCCACATCTTTGCAGAACGCGACTCGCAAATAGTTCTCTCCGAACTCCTGGTGTTCCTCACAATAGAACTAGAAGAACGGAACCACGCCTTCATTACACGAATGCACGACAATGCAGAAAGCAAGAAGGTTTGGCCCACGGCTGTTAATGGGATCGATGACACGCCGACCTCTACTGCAATGAACCATGCCGCCCTGCGATAGCACATGAGAACTAAGTCCCAACGGGCCTCAGACGACGTACCGGAAGTCCCTCCCACGCCCTTTCAGTGCCACTGGAAATGGATAGTCATCTGGCCACCGCACGCGCGACACGTCCTGTACACGCAAGCAACTTCAGCCCCCGGAGCAGACATCGGCGCTCGCAGCCCGATCGTCCATGCAGCACACTCACGACGAGGACGAAGTAACCTCCTTCAGGGACTGTGTAAGCGATCCCGACGCGCTCAAACGCGCCCGTCAGGAGCGCTCGCTTCTCTGCGTACTCCTGCAGCTGCACCGCGAAAAAGTCGTGCGCCGCGGCGCGCTCGAAGCTCAGCGCGGCTGCCTCCTGCATGGGCGTATTGGTGCAGTATGACATGCGCAACGTGGCAGCGAACGCAGGCCTGACGAGCTCGGGCGGTCCGATGAGCCAGCCGACTCGCCAGCCGGTGGCGGCGAACAGCTCTACAGGGGAGAGGGCGATAGCGCTCAGGGTTAGTCAAGTGTGCAGGAATGCCTGGAACGCACTGCTAGTCGAACTGACAGTGAGCGTACGCTCCCACATGCCGGGGAGAGACGCAATGCGGATGTGTTCTCTGTCATCATACACGATCGTCTCGTACTGGCACAAGCATCAGAAACGTCCGGTGGTTGAAAGAGCCACACCGCACCACTTCGTCAGAGAAGACCAAAAGGTTGTATTCTCTAGCAAGCTCAGCGATGGTCTCCAGCTCCTGCCTAGTGAGAACCTTCCCGACGGGATTATGCGGGGTGTTCAGGATGATCATCTTCGTGCGGGATGTGATGGCGCGGCTGGCCACATGCTAGGTGAGAATCGCAGGGCACTGGCAGCAACGCCCTGGAGAGACCCACCGCAGCTCGCCAAAGTCGATAGACCACGTCTTCCTTCCATGTTGGGACTGGTTGTCCTGGCTGGGATGCAGGGGCACGTACACGGGCTTCCCGCCGTTGAGCACCGCCGACGAGATGTGGTGGTCGAAGAACGGCTCGAAGATGACAACCTCGTCCCCCGGGTCCACGAACGCCGTGAGCACCGCGTGTATGCCTGGTTAATGCGCCTCAGGATATGCGCACCCGCCCATAGGCATGATCAGTGCACTCGCCTATGATCGCACCACCGGTGACGACGATTTCTGTCTCGGCGTCGAGCTCCTTGCCATACTGCGTGCCGTAGAATGCCTTGATAGCCTCGCGCAAGCGCTGGATGCCAGTTACGGGCGCGGCCTGGTTGCCCTCGGCCGTCTTCAGCGCCGCCTCTGCGCCTTCGCACGCCCATGCCGGGGGCGCGAAGTTCATATACCCTTGGCCGAGGTTGATGCAGTCGGGAGGGAGGCTGGCAGCACTGGGTAGGGGCATATGCGGTTGGTTTGGTGTGTCTCGTCTCATCATGGGCACTGGACTCGCCTGAAGGTCGACCAGACATCTGGCTGCAGAGCGCGCGCGTGTTCCATGCGCGCCGCAACATGTAGAGAGGGCATCGCTCGTGAAAAAGAGCTGCCAATGCTTCGGGAGGCCATTAGGGGGAGGAGCTCACGAAGACCCAAACTCTGGAGACAAGGGACGCCTTTGTACGCGACGCACTCAGTACACGGAGTGTATGCGCCAAAAATAACCTGCCATGGGAGTATCGCCCTTGGCTTGGGCTGACGTCGTCAGCGAGTGCTGCATTGATGCTGCCAGTGTCACTACAATGCGCATTAGGCGGACTTCCACACTGACGCACTGCACGAAGCACCACTTGACATCGGATGTTCGCGCCAAGTAGCGCACGTAATGATGCACGCGGCACCATGGCTACAGCTCTGCGTGCGCTGACAATAATACGCAATTCAGGAAGTAGGCGTTGCGCGGCAATTCGGAAGGGCCCGAGTGCCCTCACATCTTCGGTGAGCCTCAATGTACACTTTACCTCACACGGCCCAGCGTACACGTTAACACCTCTACCTCCGTCGATGATGTTGTGCCCAGGTGTTTCCCCTGCGTCATGAGACCGACCGCCCTTTATCGGAGGTCTGTACGTACATCATTTAGGTTACTAGGCTCTGTCCGAAGCAGCAGACGGGAGAGACAGACATACTTGCAAACTCAAAGGTAATCAGAGCGCGATGGCCGCCGCTCGTAGACGCGACCTAAGCGATGATTTATATGGACTGGAAACTTCGCCGTGAGCCACACCCAGTCCTCACAGCCGAAATCGCGCGCCATGACCTTGAACATCGGCCATGGTGCAGACAGGCTAACCGACCCATCGCTTCCGCGCTCGACCTCCCAGAAGCAGCCGTTCAGTCCGATCACCTGAAGGCGCGGCGCCCTGGCGGCGAGCTGCAACACATCTATGCTGGGGCCGGTCTCATGCGGGCCCTCGTGGATATAGATGAACCTGAGGTCCGGTCGTCGCGTCCACTGCGGTGCCATCAGTCAAAGGCCCAGATGACTGGGATGCGGCTCACCAGATCATGCCAGAGGCCCGGAGTAACCTCGAGGGCCACGATGTCAATATCAACGCGCAAAGCACGGAGCCCCACAGGAAGATGTGACTCCAAATGTCGAGCGTCTTCCTCGCGGAAGGTGTCCGCATGTAAACAGATGCCCAGGATATTCAGCGTCTTTGATGACACGAAGTAAGGCAACAGCACTTTCAAACCATCCCACTCATATCTGGCGGTGATGTCTAGTCGGCGGAGCGACTTTTTGTCCTTCAGGAAATCGGCCAAACCGTCAAGGGCGATAGCGTCGCCATAACGCGGCATGGGCTGGATGTAGCGAAAGGAGGTAAGGTAAGGAAGTGTTGAGCAATTGTGCGCCAGCATGGCCATGATCTCCTCATCCGAACCCTCATAGCATGCGATTCCGAAGGATTGCAGATTGGGGCAGGACTGCATGAGAGTCTCTATCTTCTCCACTCCTTCAGAGCAGTCGACTTCGAGTTCGGCTAGGTGGGGTAATTCACGTAGAGCGTCTGCGCAATCGAGTGCCAGGTTTCCGCCTATGTCGAGGCGACGGAGCGTGTCGCGACGAGTGCCTACGAAGGTGCGAAAGAATTTCTTCTGCATGTCGTAGTAATTTTGGTCCACCCAGCCGTCGGTTCTGTAACCATTCTCCAGTTGGAATGTGAACGATTGCAGGCGGTCGAAAGCATCCAGGCGTAAATCACAGAGACGCAGCGTGAGTGTACCATCAGAGCTGTCCAGAGCTTAGCAAAGGCCCACGTCAGGCGTGTAATTTCATTGACGTACGGGTACTGGAACTCTGTCAGTGGGGGCTGCGCAGAGGCAAGCGCATCGATGCATGCTTGGTCAACCTCCAACGCGGATCGATGCTCGAAAACAAGAAATGCGGTCAGGTTATGTAGGTTCCTCAGAGCTTGTAATAAGCATTCTGAGTACAGATACCGTTAGCTGGGCACTATGAAATACTGTAGCACGGACTTACGTCGGGCTTGCGGGACCTTGTCTTTCGTCTCGTTCATGTACACATACAGCCTCATCTCGCGCACATAAGATGCGAACACGACATCGTCCGCTATGCGCTGGAGGAGAGAGCATGACCGCGAGACATTGTGGTGTTCTAGTTCCTTTGTTCTTACACGATCAAATAAGTTCTGCTCGCAAAGCCCAAGATTGATGTAGACGGAGGAGAATAGGGCTTGCAGCGCCATGTCGTGGAATGCCCTACAGACAAAGAGACAGGAACGCTGTCCGGCTCTCGATGCCCTGGCGATGATGACTTCCCATATCTCTGGCGGAAATATCTGGTCGTGGGGTGGTGTGATGGGCATGGTGTGAGAGAAGACATGAGTGCCGTCGCCGCCCTAGTATATGTATGTCATGACGCCGTTGCAGTGCCCAGCGTCTTCTACGAATCTACGATCGCTTACAGGAAAAACGCCGTCTCAATTCCGTTCCGTCATTCGCATGCCGGGCATCTCGAGCGTTGTTTCTTACCATCTTCGCGATCGGGACGTGAATGTTTCCGGATACGTTTGCCAATGTGTATCGCACTCAGTGTATTTTACTGGAAAATCACGTATCAGTGACACTGCCCTGGTGATACCGCTGCTGTGCATGAGTGGACACTTACATATGCACAAAACCTCACTTAACGGACCTAGGATGACTTTCAACCTAGAATTCGACATTTATGGTGGCTCACATACTCTTTCGGATGTTGCTTGGACCGACCAGTTCCCGACACGTATCGAGAGTAAAAGAGGCCCGCCTAGATCGTGTGTCCTGAGCTGAGATGAAACTGTTGTACCGTGAGACCGGCTGTGGTTCTTCTGCATTTTAAAAATTACGACCGTGTATACATGACACTGCCACAACCTTGCGGGAACTCAAGTGAGCCAATGAAAACGATAAAGCAAGCGCGAATGTCGTACGCCAACGACCTTGGCCTGCAACACCGCATGCCGTCCCACCATTTGATCTACGAGTATGTGATCAGCCCTGTCACCGGGGCCCGAGGGCCATTCGCCCTAGAGACCTCCCAGAGCGGCAGCATAGTCACGAACATAAGCCACTCCCAGTCGTCGCAGTCGAAATCCCGCGCAGCAATCTAGAACATCGGCCACGGCGCAGAGAGCGCGACCGAGCCATCGCTTCCGCGCTCGACCTCCCTGAAACGGCTATTACCGCCGACCACCTGCAAGCGCGGTGCTCTCGAGGCCAGCTGCTCGACGTCAAGCACGGGACCGCGCCCGTGTGGTTCCTCGTGGACGTAGATGAATCTGAGCTCGGGGAGGTGCGTCCACTGCGATACCGTTAGCCGTATCCTCGGTTCAATGATCACTAGGCCACTGACCAGCCCATGCCACATATCTGCGTCCACTTCAAGGCTCTTGATGAGAACATGCACGCGTAGAGCATGGATCTGGGAAGGAAGGTGTGCCTGCAAATGCCGTGCATCATCCTTGCGGAACACCTCTGCCTGCAGCGAGAGCCCCAGTATGTCCAGCGTCTTCGACGATCTGAGAAATGGTAACAGCGTCTTGAGTTCTGCCCAACGATAGCTGGCAGCAAAGTCCAGCCTGCGCAGTAGCGCCTTTTCCCTCACGAACTCGACCAGCCCGTCGAGGCTAAACGTGTTCTCACGCAGCGAAACGTACCCCGTGTGTCGCAAAGATGTGAGATGAGGCAGGGCCGAGCTGTTACGCGCGAACACCTGCATGATGCCCTCATGGTCGCCGGTGTACGATGCAAGGCCAAAGGAATACAGGTTGGGACAGCGCTGGATGACAGTCTCTACTTCGTCCACGCCTTCGGAATACTGTAACTCGAGATCCCTCAGATGGAGAACCTGCGCAAGAGCGTCGGGGCAATCAAGGCCGAGGTTTCCGCCGATTTGCGACACTGGAGCGTATCACGGCGAGCGCTTGTAGGAGCGCAGAGGAAGTCTTTCTCTCTATCGTATCCGATGAAGTCGTCGAGTCTGTAGCCGGCCTCGAGATGCAAAGTAACAGACTCCAAACGGTCGAATGCATCCAAACCCAGGTCCCCCAGTGACATATTCATGGGTCCATCTTGGCTGCAAGCGTCACCAGGGATGTTAAGATACATCCTGCGGCAGGTGCGAAGTATCAGGTGCTTACGGAAAGTGAGGTTCTCTCAACGGCGGATGCGCTGAAGCCAGTGCATCGATGCACTCCTGGTCCACATCAAGCAACGACCGATATTGGGAAACCACGAAGGTGGTCAGATTGTGCAGGCTTTTGAGCGCAGACAGTAAGCATACTGTGTGGGACACTGTTAGAAACCGACAGAGGTGACATTTTGCAGGATACTAATAGGCTCACGTCGCGCTCCAAGTACCTTATCCTCCGCGTCGTTGATGAACACATACACCGCCATCTTCCGGACATATGACGCAAAGACCACATCGTGCGCGATGTGTTCGAGGAGGGCGCTGGCCCGCGTGATGCTATCGCGTTCTAGCTGCACTATTTCCTCTCGAATACAAGACCAACTCGGATAAGCCCACCGCCAATCGCGGAGGCCGAGGTGAACATAGTTCGCGCTGCTATCCCATAGAACAATCTGCAAACGAAGAGACAGGAACGCTGTCCAGCCCTCGACGTCTTGGGGATGATGATGTCCCATATCTCTGGTGGAAAGAAAGCCTGACCTTGGTGTGGCATAATAGACATGAGGATGGGTATCGAGGCTCAGATGAATAACCGCCGCCCACCAGCTGCAGCCGCCTATTTAAACAGAAAGGCGGGGAAAGCAAGATCAGGTGTTCTGCTTGGATCTATTTACATGGTGCACATGAGGCGGCGGTGTAATCATTTACTGTACATATTTGCAGCCCTTACGTGACGTCCCCCGACCGTTCTGTGTGACCTTATGTATGATTGAATGTACATGTAGAATATTATACTGCGACCGGCCGCTTACACTTCATCAACGAAATCCTCGTTCTTCGACACTCCCGCAGCGTCCTGCTCCTTATCTTTGATGTGATCAACTGCACGGGTGATATTGACTGTGATTGGTCGCATAGGCATCGAATCATTGTCGATCTGCTGGCGGAGCATTGACGCATCGATCGAAGTGAGGGGGATCTTGTGTGCCTTCTGCGCCCACCCTAGTCCCACACGGACATTGATGAGCATGAATGAGATTCCCGCCACGGGGCACCAGATATCCACTGCATTGAACTGGAGTTTCGAATGGGACTGGTATGCGGCAAAGAAGAAGATATTGAACGACCTGGATCCCTGTGAGTACAGAAATGCGCGGAATATACTGTCGACATACGTGTACAGTGTCGCGCTCCCAATAAGGATTGCCACAGCGCCCTGCTCGAGAACGGTTATGGGCCATGTAATCTGACTTATTGTAAATCTAGATGTACTGTGAGGCTCGCTCCTCCGTAGTGCCTGACAGCATGATTCAAACGCCAGATACGAAACGCAATCATGGCTGGATTCGCAGAGTCAATTATGATAGAAACCATTTTTTGAAGAGAGCGAACCCGAGCAGTATATGTTCGTACTGTGAAACAAAGGCAAATTTGATTGACGTCTTAGATCTCCAAAACAGTGCGAGGACAATGCGGCGTACCATAGAGTGAAGACAGCATCGCTAGTAATCCAGCGTCCAGCGGCAATATCGGAGACATCTTCGCCTGGGATGCGTTGCGTGAACTGATAGGTGATACCCACACCGCATACTATGTGACATGTGTTTGTAAGACTTGGTTATACACAATACTTCACATCCAGAAGCACTCACTCATCAGGCTGACTAAGGTACAACATGGGAATATAATGACCCAAGTGTTATGACCCCATACAATCCACAGTCGGTAGATCTGGACAAACAAGTGAATATTATGCGATAGGTCAAGAAAAATCCCAGCACTGACGAGCATGGAGTCTCCAAAAACCAACGTAGCTATTAGGAAACCCGTCTTGAACACCTCAGTTGTTTCACGCAGATCGCCGTAGAACTCCAGTGGAGCATTTCCTCCTTTATACAGTACGAAGGCTTGGAAAAGACGTGTGACAGTCAGGATCCAGCGCTAGAGACAATTATTAGATTTTGCCTCCAGGAACTGTATGAGACTTTACCGCAGTAATTGTTATTAGTAGCGCGATCGCTGCTGCGAACATAGGTCGCTTGAACAGAGACTTGCATATACCAGTTGTGATTTGCTTTCTCCTCATATTGTGTTTTGCCCGTCGAACGAGGAAGTATATGGACGTCACCGCGAGTAGAAAGAAGACTCCGTAGAGATGACTCTCGATGCAGACAGTGCCAAGATTTGCGGGGACAAGCTGTACCTGTGACATCTCAAGAGATTCGACTGATTAGATGTGAGGAGTGCGCTGTTGGAGCACCATTCTGTATAAAAATACTAGGACGAGCGCTTCGCAAACTTGAAGAAAGTGGTGCGGTGTTGATACTTCTCGTTTCCTGTTGCCCTCAAGGCTCGGCGGACTCATTGCAGATCAACAGCCTCCTGACGTAAAGGATTTGATTCCGGGCATAGCTCAGTCTACTTGAATTCCCTCGCGAATACTACATTTAGCAATGTCCTACTGTACCTTAGATGGCTGTCCGCCCGTCTTCGCCTTGAAGTCCTATGAGTCGACGCAGTGATCACCGAGTATGTCTTCTGGCCAACCCCTCAGACCTTCAGCAGTCGTGTCGAGGGTGGTAGTATGACTAGAATATCATGAAGAGATCAGTTAAAGAGCTGCATGCCACGAACAGTTTGGATCCGATCTATGTCCCCAAATTCTGGTCAACTGGGAGCGCAGCCAGATCCTTGTCCCGGCTCACTGCTGACGCACCCCCGTTCCAATTAGCGCCCGGTGGATACAGCATCGTTATAACCACAATCACCTATGTATGGAATTGGCTGTGGGCGTCCGAGCTTCCAGATCCAAGAACATCGATTGCGCGGTTATTGTTTTTGAGCCCTTGAACAGGCCTGATAATGAAGATATGGTTCGCTGGTAACAAGATGCAATTAGGGCTGCTCAATCCTTGTCGCTCGCTCGTCCATTCGCGGAGCGCCCACCTTTTTTGAGAGGTACTTCCAACCCCGACTAATCCCTGCCACCGATATTGTTTACGAACTAGATGACCCCAAAAGAGGTGTGCCCAGGGAAACAAGTTCTAGTAAGATGCATGATAGAGCGCTGGCGCTTAGCCGTTAGCTGTCTTCTGGAGGGTTGTGCCATCAGGACTCGGAGGTGCGCTAAATCGTACAAAAATGTCAGCTCAAGTACAGCGCTGCCCGGCAGAAGCCACAGACCGTGAAGCCATGTTCACTCTTCGTCCTCCCCCGCAGACCCAAGCTCTCTACAACGAGACATTCCGACCGCCCCCTTGAAACGGCTCGTTGACCCTACCTGAGATCTACGACTGGCATGCAGAGCACACACTAAATCACCGTATCTCCATGTTCTCTAACGACGACGGCAGCTGCCGCGATATCTTCTGGCCTCCAGGCCCGTTCTATTCAATCCCGAATGCATCAATCCGTGCTCAAATCTACTCTTGCCAATTCTCTCCAGCTATAAACCCTTTTCAGGGACACGTACCGATTGTTACCCTATTGACACAAATAATAAGTTCATGATGAGCCGCCTTGTTAAGAAGTGATGTCTGCCTTCCAATATAGCACTGATGTACGCTACTATTGGAAGATAGACACCACTGTGACGCACGCATACATCCCGGCTGCGTGCTCGCAAATCACAGAGACGCTTATCCGGCTCGACCTGTCATATGTTATTAGAAAGCGCATGAGTATTGCGCTGTTACCGGAGTCGCAAGCCTCATCGGAAATCCGAATCATCGGCCCGCATTATGTCTAGTGGCGCGGAGTCAGATTTTCCGGTGTAGATGGTCCGCATTCTTATGTAGTGGCTGCTGACCGTTGTCAGGTTACCATGCTTGCCGCGTCATTGCTGCTGCTGTTGATTCGAGCTATACCAGCCGTGGCCAGATTATGGCAAGTTTAAATCGGATTGTCGTTAGGATTCAATGACTGGCGAAGTTTGCAAGAATGCGTCATCCCTCCGAATGTGGCATTTGTAGGAGCGAGGACGTTGTAACACCAGATGGGGCAGAGACTTGAACGAGTGGTCAATGCTGTTTCCTTCTACTGATAAGATGGACGCGTTGCTCAGCGGGAAGATCCACGTCTAGTTATGTGCCATTTCGTGCGGTGAGACTGCGTAGCACATCATTCTGAAAGAGATGGCACCCAGGTGATACGATTGTGGCAAGTACCAAGAATAGGTGTGCCAAGGCCGCTGGAGATGACGACGAAAACACCGAAGACGAGCCTACAAAAGGCATCGCCTCGTGCGGGATGCGGGGTGTGTGATCAACATGAGATGTCTATCAGTCAACTGACGACCTTGTTGTGGGGGTCCCTCGGCAGCCAGCAGGACGACTGCCAGGCTCTCATGAGGCTTGCGAGCTCACAAGCAAAGCATATGTAGGATTTGAATGTTGGTAGCACTTGATAGCAGAGTCAGCAGCGAAAGTCATGATGTCGGAAAGAGTGGTCAGCTCGGGGTGACCGTGCACTTGCCGGTCTTTTGACGTGAGCGCCTGTTTCGCTCACTGTTACGTCCATCGTCGAACCTCGTCTGCTCGTCGTTGCCCGTAGCCGGCTCGTCCTCTCTCGCCATGGACCGGCCGCTCGGCCCTCGACAACCAGACAAACGCAATGCTGCCTACGAGTCCATCTTTGGCCGCCCGGGTGTGTCCCACCACCAACAACACACCGCCCCTCCTCCCCAGTACCCCCAAGTCCAGCGCCCCGCGGTCCCCAACGGCCAACAGTATTCTTATTATCCTCAGCAGTATGGTGCGCAACTGGACAAGCGGACGTCGGGCTCGTCGCGGGCACCCTCGATCAACTACCCTCCAACGCAACAACAGGGCCCGCCCTTGAACAGACAGTCGTGGTACCCGTCTCAGCCGGGCTATCCCAGTGTGCCACCACCGGCCACGAACTATACGTACTCGAGTCAGAATAATCTCGCAGCTCCTTCGATCATCAGTCGTGCGCGGTCCGTAGCTAGTTCTCCCGGCGTGATCGCCCCCCTCGAAGAGGGCCGGGATCCCAGTCTCGAGGCATGGACACGAGCGGGCCTCACTCCTGCACAGGCTTATCAAGCTCAGGTTTACATGAACAGCCCGATGGGGCAGCAGCAACAAGGTCTCCCGCCGCCCCCGCCCTCATCGAACCCGGAGCTACCAATACTCGGTGTCAACATCGATACTGACGACGGGAGGCTGGGTATCGACTTCGTTGCAGACGGGCGTACGCCGAGTGAGGCGGGTACGGAAGAAAGCTCGAGCGAATTACCTTGGGCCAGACACCGCTCGAAGCCAAACAGTGTCCGTTCGCGACTCTCCGCCGCTTCCTCACAAGTACCCAGTCCCGATTTGGCCAATTTCCCCTCCTCATCTCGCCCGTATCCCCTGCAGCTGGATACCGCCATAGCCTCTGCGCCTGCAGTAGGCGGTGCTTCCTCACCCACTTCGTCCACTCTAGTTGACATGTCCGGCACCGTTGCGGCGCGCCGTTCGTCAGAATCGTCCAAAACACTGCCAGGCCAGGCTTTCCGGAAAGACCGTATCCCCCAGGACCGCTCACGCTCCATGTCGGCGACAATGACCCCGCAGTTCCGAGCCATGCTCGAGTCGGGGCGCATTCCTAGACCACCCATCCCACCGCAGCTCGGCGGCCGGGAGTCGCCCGCTTCGACGCGTGCACAGGCTCCACATCGCTCGCGGACGCCCGTGGTGTATCCCGCGCTTCTCTCACGCGTCGCTGAGGCGTTAAGAGCGCGACTATTGTTGCAGGACCGCGTGAAGGACGGTCTCACTTACAAGGACGCGTTCGATGGCCGCGAGGCGGTCGACCAGATCGCGTACATTATCAAGACGACGGACCGAAATCTGGCACTACTTCTTGGGCGCGCGCTGGACGCGCAGAAATTCTTCCACGCGGTCACGTATGACCACCGCTTGCGCGACTCGTCACACGATCTGTACCAGTTCCGCACAAAGCTTCCCAGCCCATTTGTGAGCGGTGAGCTGGCCAATGTGGAGGAAGACGGAGACGGCATCAGCAAGGCGCCGGGGCGTCCCCTCATCAATGACGGGATGGCCGCCGAAGTGGCAGCACACCTCAAGGAGAGCCCGACGCCGTCTGCAGAGTCGGATGTGGAGAAGACGTACAAGGACGGCTCGCGACCCACGTCGCCGTCCCCGCCGGATTCGGTTATCTCGCCAAAAGCGCGGCCACGCCGAGGCTCCGTGTCGGCAGACGACGTGCCCCTTCCCTCAGGCGTCTTCACGCTGCTCACGGACTGCTACTCGCCGACATGCTCGCGTGATCAGCTGTGTTATTCCATTGCGTGTCCACGGCGGCTTGAGCAGCAGGCGCGGCTGAACATGAAGCCGCAGCCCGGGCTGAAGAAGCAGATCAGCAAGGAGAGTCTTGGTGACCTTGTGGTTCGTTTGTAGTGCATACTATGATATGTGGACAGTCTATCCACTGAACATCTGCAGGAACCGGGCACACTCTGGATACATACCGTCCCACAGGAGGTCGTGAACAGCGTGTCGGACACCGAGAAGAAACGCCAGGAGGCCATCAACGAGGTGATGTACACTGAACGTGACTTCGTGAGGGATATGGAGTATCTGCGAGACGTATGTTCCTGCGCTGAACCCTCCTCTTTTGTTCGCTTATATTTTGTACTAGCTTTGGATAAAGCCCTTGAGAGAGCAGGAGATCATTCCCGAATCACGACGTGCGGACTTCCTGACACAAGTGTTCTGGAACATCAACGACATCATTGCCGTGAACACTCGCTTGCGTGACGCGTTGAACAAGCGTCAAAAGTCGTATGCCGTGGTCGAGCAGATCGGAGACGTGCTGTTGGACGCAGTGCCCCACTTTGCACCATTCGTATCGTATGGAGCTCATCAACTGTACGGTAAGTACGAGTTCGAGAAGGAGAAAAGCTCAAATCCCGCGTTTGCCGCGTTTGTCGAGGTTTGTCGTTGTGCAGAGATTCCCAGCTGTTCAAAATGTTCACACCTTCCAATAGGAAATCGAACGGCGTCCCGAGTCGCGCAAGCTGGAGCTGAACGGTTATTTGACCAAACCCACCACCCGACTTGCTCGATATCCGCTTCTTTTGGAGGCTGTGCTGAAGCACACACCGGATGACAACCCCGACAAGGCCGCTCTTCCCAAGGCTGTCGCGATGGTCCGCGAGTTTTTGAAGGCAGTGAATCATGAGACTGGCAAGGCGGAAAATCGCTTCAATCTCTTACAGCTTGACCAGCAGTTGGTCTTTAGGCCAGGGGAAGAAGTTGTCAGTTGACTTCACCTGCTTCTTATGTGTCTTTATTCACGTGGCTCTGGCAGGATCTCCGTCTGAAAGAGGAGGGACGAGAGCTCATTTACAAGGGAGCATTAAAGAAGCAGGGTGATAGCTCGGAACTTCAGGTGTTCCTCTTTGACCATGCCCTGCTCTTGGTCAAAGCGAAGAGCAAGGTTGAGCTGTATAAAGTCTACCGCCGTGTATGTAGATTTGCGATTCGCGTGAGCCTTCGACTGATCGAACCCCCAGCCGATCCCTCTCGAACTGCTTCTCGTCTCCGCACCCGACGACTTCCCATCAGGCAAGCCGCACAAGGACCGAGAAAAGCAGAAGTTGCTGAAGAACGCACCTCACGCCCCGGTCATCCCTATGAAGGAATCAAAGGGCGGCTTCTCGATCACCTTCGTGCATCTCGGGCGCAAGTACTACCAGATCACTCTGGTGGCGAGCACGTATGTCAGCCAGCGGAAATGGGTGGAGAACATACAGAAGCAGCAAGACTTGATGCGCGAAAGGAGTCTGGTCTTTGAGACTGTGACTCTGAGCGAAGACTTCTTCGTGGGGCCCACTCGCGTCAACTGCGCCGCTCCATTTGGTGAGTTACCGTATGCGCATCCATAGTGTCTCGACGATTGACGCGATACCTTCTGCAGGCCAAGGAAGGCGAGCCGTGTACGGTACTGACGACGGTATCTATTTGTCGAATCTCGGAGAACGAAATCGAGAACCCGTCAAGGTCCTCGCCCTAAATGACGTGCAACAGGTAGACGTGTTGGAAGATTACCAGCTCCTGATTGTTCTATCAGGTAAGCAACATGGTAAACACAGAAAGCGTACCATCTTAGCTGACGCCTTTCAGAGCGACAAGTCATCACATTCCCGCTGGACGCCCTGGATCCAAGGGACCCCATGGCCGGCCTGAAGCGTGCCAAGCGTATAGCTTCACATATCTCGTTCTTCAAGACAGGTGTGTGCCTGGGAAAAACGCTCGTGTGTGTCGTGAAAGCCAGTCCATTGTCAAGTACTATCAAGACTCTTGAACCGATCGACCAGAATGTCCGTGGCAGGAGCAAACCCACATTCCGTAAGCTCTTGCAAGGTGGCAATGACACTTTGCGTGTGTTCAAGGTGTGTCTGTCTCTTATCACTGACATCGTTTGATAACACGTCTGCAGGAATTCTACATTCCCGTCCAATCGAGCTCCATACACTTCCTCAAGACGAAGTTGTGTGTGGGGTGCACGAATGGCTTCGAGATTGTGGATTTGGAGACCCTGGACACGCAAGGTCTGCTGGACCCAGCAGACACATCACTGGATTTCGTGCGCAAACGGGAGAACCTGAAACCTCTTGCGATCTTCCGCATCGACAGCGAGTTCCTACTGTGCTACGATGGTATGTCCATGGCCTCTCTTTGACGACCTTTGGGTTGAATTTCGGTTCACAGAGTTCGCATTCTATGTTAATCGAACCGGATGGAGGTCACGCAAAGACTTCATGGTGTACTGGGAAGGCTACCCAACGGCTTTTGGTGCGTCCTCCAACGTCTTGGTATAATCTCTCTCAAATAACGGCGTGATTAGCGCTGCATTATCCTTATGTCCTTGCGTTTGAACCCACCTTTGTGGAGATTCGGCACGTCGAGACTGGTTCAATGTCTCAGATCATCCAAGGCAATAACCTTCGTTGCCTGTTCGCTGATACTCCTCCGTCGGCCTCAAATTCCGGTAGCCAGGCTCAATACAGCCCGTATCAGCAGGGCTACGGATACACCCAGTACGGCCCCGCAACCCCCAATTCATACAGCGGTCGAGCATCGATAGGAAGTGTCCATGGTCAGCTGTCCCCACAGACAGCGTATACCAACCCGTATCAGCCACGGATGCCAATATCAGCCGGACGTGACGAGATCCTCATGGTCTCTGATGACAAGATTATGAGGTTGCAGATGGCGACGCCTCCACATAACTCATAGTCCTAGCGTCTATGATACTGATAGCTCGCGCGCTCCTTCCATCTACCCTCCCTTCCGTACTGAGCCATTGGTGCGCCGCCGTGCGCTGTGTTCATATGTGTCGCGTTCTATATCTGTTGTTTACTCATCTCTCGTCCTCCTCATAGCACTTATATATCCTACCCGCATTTGTAGCCGAGATCATTGTTATGATACGCTAACATATTTTCACGATAGATCACGACGCACTCATGTTCTTGTAGTATGTATGAGTGGTCTCACCCTTCATCGGTATGCATACCTCATCAGTACCTGACCTGGTGATCACCAACATGAGACTGCCAGTTGACAGGACAGCATTTACCTTGTCCTCATCGCAGGATAACTCTTTGGAGGTACGAGTCAAGTGAAAGCAAGCATACGTCGCCGTCTACGATAGACCCCATACATAGTTTCGTGCTGCATAGCCTGGCCCCCTTAATAATACCTCTTAATGATACATGATGCTGCACAATGTAGAGCGACATACGGGAACCGATACTGTGCATTAGTATGCGGAGGTTGACCCCGTGAGGTAATGTATGCCTGCCACGTGACCGCGACGTGGTAGTGGCTGAACATGGCGCCCGAGCGGGCGTTCGAGCGGGGAGCTTGGCATCGGGCTCGGCTCGGGCCGCTTGACGGTGGGCGACGGCGTCGGGTCGACCGAGATGCTGGGCGCCGCGGCCTTGGCGAGCGCGGGCGAGGAGACGGAGGGCGTCGGCAGTCTTGGTATATTTGCAAGATGTGGGAGGGCATAGAAAGAATGATAGGCCACAGTGAATGTTATGTATGGAGGCCCAGCAATCTTCAGAGTATATTAGCATCCCTGGCAACATCCCTGAACCGATGCCTCGACACGACACATTCCAATCAGGAAGGCGAGTTTCCATATTTGCTAGTCCACAGAGTGTCAGATGACCCCGAAACCGCTATATCCGGGATGACGTACCGATGCGGACAGCAGCGTCACGATGATGGCAAGTACATAGATGGCAAGTACATAAGAGGAGAGTCAAAATGAATATCAATTGAAAATATCTGCCCACGCCCAGTTCACCAACATCTTCCGCCGCTCGGGCTCCCGTGAGTGCTGCTGCCCCTTTCCTCTCCTTCATTGTATGAAACAGCTGCACACTCATGTGCATGCCGGCAGAGAGTCCTCATACCTTCAACCTGATATGCCTGCTCTCCTCGCACATGCCATTAACAACCCCCTTGCCTGGCCATCCTGCTTGTGTGTGATGTTGCAAGCTCGTGTTGCTTTTGAAGCCGGGGAAATTCTGGCAGAGAAACAACAAAGTCAGAGTGTCAATTTTCAAGTTGTCAGTATATTAGTGTAGTTAGTAAGTCAGTATTGTTGGTGCGTCATGTTGCAATCTGAGATGTGATTTCTTGTACAGTGCATTTACAATATGTGTGTCACGACTTGGTACAGCATCTAGCCGTTTTTTAATTTTTCCTTTCTGCAGGCTTGAACCTGCGACCTCTGTACTACATACCTGATATGGACACAACACTATCTACAGTACGATTAGATTAGATGGGACGGCTGTCACGAGCTGGTATGGCATCTAGCCGTTTTTTAATTTTTTCCTTTTCACAGGTTCGAACCCGCAACCTCTGTACTACATGCCTGATATGGACACATCATTATCTACTGTACAATTAGATTAATTGGGGCAGCAGTGCACGGCACAGCTCAGGTTCCGCTGACACAGCTGCTCTGACTCACCAGCCCCCGGGGCCGCGTCAGCATGCTGTGCATGGACCAGCTGCGCACGGACCAGTGCGCACAGCCTGCCCTTATCTCCCCATGTATATAAGCTGGCCTCTGCTGCCCTAGGGATCTCAGTTTCGACCTCTTGTCCCTAGGTCAGTAAGCCCCTGTACTTACTTATTTCAATACTAACTACTTGTCCCTAGCCTTAGGTTTGAGTGTAAGCTCACCATCGCTTCGGTAAGACCCAGTCAAATGCCCCCAGCGCCCTTTGTTTGTGTTTCCCCAGTCACTTGACCCTCAGTCACGACATTAGGTCGAAACTCCTCACCGCTGCCGGCATTCTCTCAGAACCCAAAAACACTCACACTCCCTTTCCTACAGATTGGATGGTGCGCACCCCTACTATACTCTACGATACATAGATAGCATACATACATCGCCACCACTAAGGGAACAAACCTTTTAGCACCTGCACTTCAGTGGGCGGTGCTTGTCGTTACGGATGTGTGGACTAGGTTCCTGCTGCATAATAGTCAAAAGCAGTATTGGGCCCTACGTGAACTGCGAATCTCAGTGTCATCTCGGGCGCCGTAGGTGTAAGCTAGTATAGCACGGCCTTTCATAGTACGCGCTGATAGGCGCCAAGCCCCTCTGGGCCCCGATACACCTCTTTTCGGCAGTTGCATCCCGCCCGCCACTTCGACTCAGTCTCCCAACAGTTCGATTTCGCCTTTGACGCTCTTCAACATCTTCGACAGTGCGCAACGCTTGCTCGAAGCTCGGCACAGTTGTCCCGATGCCTCGCGCGTAGATCTCGGGACATCTCCCGCATTCGGCGAACAATAGGGCCACTTGACGCCGCTTGGCCAAGCGCGCGCATCGCTCCAAGCCACACCGACGTAGCCGGTCTTTCCCGATTAGGTATCGAACCTCGCGACATGCCTTCAACGACGGACACCGGTCCGAAGTGTCTCGCATGGTTCTCTCCATCTCCGCGTTTGGCATGACGTCACTCTACCGATGGACTTGATATGTGCCCCTCGGTGAGGCAGCTTCTTGAGGAACAATGCAAAGCCCCTTGTACCAGTGTGCCACTTTCGATAGTCATAGCATCCTGTGTAGTATAAAATCTGTCGTACTTCTCTCTAAAAATACAAGATCCGGTTCCCCCCTCGAGTTCAGAGCTCATAAGTCGAGTTCGCCCTGCGTCTAAGCCCTCAACTGCGTCACTTCGTCCCTCGCTGCGTAACCTCGAAACCTCGCCCACTGTGTTTACTCGTCGATACCGTCTCGACAAACCCTTCGACTTCAACTATTGTTGAAGAAATTGCGAACCGCGCCCTAGCTAAGTCCACCCTATCGAACCGTGTCCCTTCCTTCTATGATACATCAAAGAGCTCTGCCGAGCTTCGATCGTCTCTGCTAACCACCCACAGCCTCCGAGTAGCTTCGACGATGTGTCGAAGCCACCTCGTACCTTCCCCATTGTTCGTAGCCTTTTCCAAGGGCATTTCTCGTGTTTACTCGAACCGCGGGACACCTTGCTGCTAACTCCCCTCTCACTAAGACTATAATCCGTCTCTCTAGTCCCTTTAGATCGCACCCAGGTTAGGGGTTAGGGTTCCGTAGGTCGTATCAGCGCACCTCCCCTTCCTCCCCCCATCCAACGTGGCTGCCTGCCAAGGCCAAGTTCACGCATTCGACTCTCAGGACCTCATCGACGTCTACATCCCAGACGGCCCTGAGACTATCATCTACCGTTGCGAGCAGCAGCCGTGCCCCAACCGGACACCCCAATCGATCGCAGAAGATTACCCCCGCTACAAGGCAATCCGACGAGTGCAACATCCGCTCGGTCCTCGAAGCACCCTTGCATCTCGATCCGCCTCGCAGCACTCTCGCCCTGTCTCCCCCAGCTCCCGCCTTCCCCAAACTGTTGCCAAATCCAGTCAAGTACGAGGAGATCTCCCTCCAGACTATCACAAAACCTACAAACCCACCTTATAGCTTGATATTGAGGGGGGGAGATAATAGCACTTAAGTATGGGGAGGTAATGCTGTTAAGCGCAACAACGAAGTGAATAGAACTGGGGGACAGGGTGCCCCAGGATGCTGCCTTATATACATGAGGGAAAACCCCCCAGGGACCGGTAATGGACCCCTGGTACCTAGCTGGGTAAGGATTACTAAGTATCATGTGCTCTATGATGTCATATATGATGTCATAGTCTGGCCCTGCCCTGCCCTGGGCCTAGGGTCCAGAATTGACCGGCCTATGGCCTAGTGCCTGAGCCTAGCTCCTACCTATGATGTCAGAAGGAGTCTGGTTTCTATCTAGAAAAGGTCCGGCATCAGAGTCCAGCCTGATGTGTCCAGAACAAGATCATGTATCGCTTATTTAAGCGGATAACCCCTTAGATATGCAGCTGTACCCATATGCGGACGGATAAGTATGGATAAGTCCCTATACCCTTTGATATGTCCGCAGAAATAGCGGAAAAATTAGGTAAAATTAGGGAAACTGTGACACAGACCCTGCGCCAGAGCCTGAGCCTGAGGAGAGTGCAGGTGAAGAAGGAGTCTCGGAGCCCGAGTCCGCAGATTCTGCTCAGTCCGCCTTGCCGACAGCGCTTGCCCCCGCGTCAGCAGTCCCTGATGTACATGACCCCCCCGCCGAACTTTCTCTGGTGCCTTCACCGCCGACTCCGCTGAGAGGCCGCTTGAGCACTCGCTCCTCTCAAAGTTCGACCAGCGGAGGGCCACCACAGCTGCCTCCGCCCCCGCAGCGTCCTCCGTTCCCCCCGGCGCTGATAATGTCTCCCACCACGACCGCCCCTGACAAAGAGACCCTGAAGCTCCTCCTCCCACTTCGATATGATGGCAAGACTGTCATCGAATGCGACAGGTTCCTGTCGCAACTCCGCATTTATTGGCTGGTCAACACATCGCTGACCACCATCGAACTCAAGGTGCAAGTTGCAATGAGCCTGCTCGATGGCGACACCCGTGCCTGGGCCACTCCCTACTTTGCCCAGCTTGCATCGGTGCAGATGGGTGTGCAAGGGGTCACGACCCCCTGCAGGAACGAAGCAGCCTTCACTGCTGCCTTCACGGCTCGCTTTGGTAATCTCGACAATGCGGCGGCAGCACAAGTGGAGCTGGCGAAGCTCTGTGCGGACAAGTTGGTCCGCGAGAAACGCACCGCTGCGGAATTCTCAGCGCTGTTCAAGGGTCCGGTGGATCGCTCTGGGTATGGGGACCTGGAGCTACGCGACAAGTACCTGAGCAGCATCCCCTCCCACGTATATTGCAAGATCGAGCTCGAGACCTTCACCACGTGGCAAGCTGCTGAAAAGCGAGCCACTGAGGTCGAGCAGATCCTCGACATCAGCCGGGCCCATCAGCCCGAGTTGAACAACTTCTTCTCGGCTTGAGGACGAGGACGCGGAGGGGCACGTGGTGGTGCACCCTCAACACATGCAGCTTCAGCCAGCATCAATGCGGCCGTCGGAAAAGGAGACTTCCCCAGCACATGCTTCGGCTGTGGGAAGCAAGGGTACCGACGCTTCGAGTGCCCCAACTGTAAGGACAAGCCTTACACAAAACGCGCTGACGCGTGGGCTACGGTTGCCTCGGGTTCCACCCAGGCGGCGACAAGCGCCCCCGTCACTTCATCCTCGGCGAGTACAAGCGCTGCTTCAGCGAAATCGGAAAGTTCCGAGCTGGCGGACTTGATAGCACAGATGAAGTCGATGCGCGAGGAGCTCGAGCACTATCGGGCGATGAAGGAGGAGTCTTTTTGATCCGGTCCACGCTTCATGCCACACGCATCGGGCCGCATAATAATAACATGTACAATGTATTGGCTACTGCGAATGTTTACGAATTGGACCACGGGTCCCAGCACTTTCACATTCCAGTATGCCTCAAAGGGGAAAGACAGCACAAGGATATAGTTGCAATGGTGGACAGCGGAGCCACTACGAAGTTCATCAACAAACATTTCATCACGGAAAATTGAGTATGAATGCGGAAACTGAAAGAACCAATTCTGCTTTACAATATTGATGGAACGCTCAATAAAGACGGAAGCATCTCGGAGGTAGCCGTGCTACAGATGCAAATAGGAGATCACGTCAAGAAGACGGTGTTTACGGTCACAGACATAGGTCCAGAAGATGTGATTGTTGGGTTGGATTGGCTACAAGAGCACAACCCTGAGATTGATTGGGAGTCAGGCTCCCTAAAACTATCATGGTGCCCTGAAACGTGCAGTGCCAGGAAGACTGGCCGAATGGAGCAAGCAGCGACTGCGTGTGATACGGGGGTCAGGCCCACGGTGCGCAGGCGTTTGCCGAAGTCCAAATGGTTGGTCATAGGCGCCTGCCGGAGTAAGGTACTCCTGGACTTCGAACCCAAAGAAGATTCAGTGGAAGTAGAATGGGATGAGGCTGACTTGATCGAAGCCTGGGAGCAGGGTATCACGCTTCCTGGCGCCCCTCAGCTGTTCGTTGTAGCAGGGCATACATACTTCCAGCTGTTCGCTGAGGAGGAGATCAAAAAGAAGGTCATCAAGACCGCCGAGGAGTCGGTACCTAAACAGTACCACGAGTTCCTGAATGTCTTCTCCAAGGAAGCATCAGAACGGCTACCCGAGAGGAAGCCTTATGATCACGCGATCGAACTCGTGCCTGGCTACTTGACGTTCCACTCGAAGGTGTATCCCCTATCGAACAATGAGCAGGAGGAACTGGACAAGTTCCTAAAGGAGCAGCTAGCAAAAGGCTATATACAAGAATCGAAGTCGCCTGTCACGAGTTGGTACGGCGTCTAGCCGTTTTTTAATTTTTTCCTTTCCGCAGGCTCGAACCCGCGACCTCTGTACTACATACCCGATATGGACGCGTCGTTATCTACTGTACGATTAGATTAGATAGGACGGCAGTGCACGGCACAGCTCGGGCCCCGCTGACACAGCCTCTCTGACTCACCGGCCCCCGGGGCCGCGTCAGCATGCTGCGCACGGACCAGCTGCGCACGGACCAACGCGCACAGCCTGCCCATATCTCCCCATGTATATAAGCCGGCCTCTGCTGCCCTGGGGACCTCAGTTTTGACCTCTTGTCCCTAGGTCAGTAAGCCCTCATATATCTGCTTACTTACTTATACTAACTAATATACTTTCTTGTCCCTAGCCTTAGGTTTGAGCCCAGCTCACCATCGCTTCGGTAAGAACCAGTCAAACGCCCCCAGCATCCTTCAAAGTCGGTGTTCCCCCTGTCGCTTGACCCTAAGTCGCGACATTAGGTCAAAACTCCTCACCGCTGCCGGCGTTCACCGGAACACACTCACTTTTCACTTCCTATAGGTCGGGTGGTGCGCACCCTTACGATACCATACAATATGTAGATAGCCTACATTACATCGCCAACACTCAGGGAACGAACCTTTCAGCACCTGCACTTCAGTGGGCAGTGCTTGTCCTTAACCGGACGCGTGGAATAGGTTCCTGCTGCATACTAGCCAAAAGCAGTACTGGGCCCCACGTGAATCACGAACCCTAGTGTCATCTCGGGCGCCGTAGGTGTAAGCTAGTCTACCACGGCCTTTCATAGTACGCGCACCTCCCCGTCCTCTCCCCATCCATCGTGGCTGCCTGTCAAGGCCAGATCCACGCATTCGACTCTCAGGACCTCATCGACGTCTACATCCCAGACGGCCCTGAGACTGTCCTATACCGTTGCGAGCAGCAGCCGTGCCCAAATCGGACACCCCGATCGATCAAGGAAGATTACCCTCGCTACAAGGCAATCAGGAGGGCCCAACACCCCCTCGGTCCCCACAGCACCCTCGCATCTCGATCTGCCTCGCGGCACTCTCGCCCTGTCTCCCCTACCTCCCGCCTTCCCCAAACTGTCGTCGCCGATCCAGGTCAAACGCGAGGAGATCTCCCTCCAGACCCTGTGCCAGAGCCTGAGCCTGAGGAGGGTGACAGTGAAGAAGGAGTCTCGGAGTCCGAGTCCGCGGATCCTGCTCGGCCCGCCTCGCCGACAGCGCCGACCCCCGCGTCAGCAGTCCCTGACGTACGTAACCCCTCCTCCGAACTTTCTTCGGCGCCTTCACCGCCGACTCCGCCAAGAGGCCGCTCGAGCACTCGCTCCTCTCGAAGTTCGACCAGCGGAGGGCCACCACAGCCGCCTCCGCCCCCGCAACGTCCTCCGTCCCCCCCAACGCCGATAATGTCGTCCCCTGCAGCCGCCCCCGACAAGGAGACTTTGAAGCTTCTCCTCCCACTCCGATACGATGGCAAAACAGTCATTGAATGCAACCAGTTCCTATCGCAGCTGCGCATCTACTGGCTGGTCAACACGTTGTTGACCACCATCGAGCTTAAGGTGCAGGTCGCACTCAGCCTGCTCGATGGAGATGCCCGCGCCTGGGCCACTCCCTACTTTGCCCAGCTCGCATCAGTGCAGGTGGGTGTGCAAGGGGCCACGACCCCGTTTGCAAACGAAGCGGCCTTTGCCGCCGCCTTCAGGGCCCACTTCGGAAATCTCGACGACGAGGCGGCAGCACAAGTAGAGCTGGCAATGTCATGAGTTGGCATATGATCAGCATATATACCTCCGGTCAGATGTCAAGCCAAGCTTGACATTGCACCCTTTTGGTGTAGAGGTTATGATGTGAGACCGGCGCATGCATGCAAATCCTTACAGGCAAAGCTCTGCGCGGACAAGTCGGTCCGTGAAAAATGCACCGCTGCAGAGTTCTCCACGCTGTTCAAGGGTCCGGTGGATCGCTCTGGGTATGGGGACCTGGAGCTACGCGACAAGTACCTGAGCAGCATCCCCTCCTGCGTATACCGAAAGATCGAGCTCGAGACTTTCACCACATGGCAAGCAGCTGAGAAGCGTGCCACTGAGGTCGAGCAGATCCTCGATATCAGCCGGGCCCGTAGGCCCGAGCTAAACAACTTCTTCTCGGCCCGAGGTCGAGGACGCGGAGGGGCACGTGGTGGTGCACCCTCGATGCACGCAGCTTCGGCCAGCATCAATGCGGCCATCGGAAAAGGCAACTTCCCTGGCACATGCTTCGGCTGTGGGAAGCAAGGGTACCGATGATTCGAGTGCCCCAATTGTAAGGACAAACCTTACACAAAACGCGCCGACGCGCGGGCTACGGTTGCCTCGGGCTCCACCCAGGCTGCGACAAGCGCCCCTGTCACGACAACACCCTCGGCAAGTATAAGTGCCGCTTCAGCGAAATCCGAGCAATCGGAGCTGGCGGACTTAATGGCACAGGTGAAGTCGATGCGCGAGGAGCTCGAGCATTATCGGGCAATGAAGGAGGAGGGTTTTTGATCCGGTCCGCGCTTCGTGCCGCACGCGTCGGGCCGCGAGTATCATCTTGTAACAAGTATAATGTATTGTCTACTGCCATGGTGTACGAATTGGACCAGGGGTCCCAACATTTTCACATCCCAGTACGACTTCAAGGGAAAAGACGGCATAAAGACATAATCGCTATGGTGGACAGCGGAGCCACCACGAAGTTCATCAACAAGCGATTCATTGAAGAGAATAAGGTGCAGACGCGGAAGCTAAAAGAGCCGATTCCGCTCTACAATATCGACGGCACCCTGAATAAGGATGGAAGCATTTCAGAAGTAGCAGTGCTACAGATGCACATAGGAGAACAC